CAGCCTCAAAGCCCGCTTCGAGGTCGACTGGGGTAAGGTCTCGTCTGTTCCGCTCAAAAGCGTCGGCCTCTGTTGCAAACCTAGCTTTTTCGCGCTTGAACATCTCCTCCACCTTTTCGACCTCGCGGATCTCTGTTGCTACCTGCAGCACCATAGCCTCCTTCTGGGACTCGGTCGGCACCAAGTAGAGTAACTCGGAGGTGATGCCTTCGAGACCAGAGGGAGCAACTCTTCCACGCGCGGCCGAGAGCTCTTTGGTGGGGAGGTCGGAGGGGGACAAGGATGTGGCAATGGAGAGGAGGCGTCGGCGAAGGTTGGGGATGGTGAGCCGCGCTTCCTGAAGCTTTGGGAGCATCAGGCCGCAAAAGGCGTCGTCGACAGTGTCGATGAGGTTGGGGAGCTCAACGACAAGACCAGCGGTCACCATCTTCACGCCATGGACGTGGTGCCAATCTTGGCCTCCGAACTGGCTGGAGCCCTCAGCAACAGGTGGGAGACGACTCTCAATGAAAGAGTTGCCTTCGCTTCGGGTGTGGCGGCGGAGGTTGCGGTCAAACTTGAAGAAGTCTGCCGCGGTGGGGTCGACCTCGTTGTCCTGGCGGTCGAATCGGCCGTACGCTGGGGCGAAGGGATGCTGTGGAACGTCAGCATAGACCACAAAGATGTGGTTTCACTTACATAGACGCGACCTCCTCGAGCATGAACCTTGTCCCCGGGATTGACCTTCTCGATCGAGATATCCTCGCCCACCTCCCGAGCCTCCTTGTAACGCTCAATGATCGCCCTGGTAAGTTCTTGCTCCAGGGAAGGATCTTTCTTGTTGGTGTCCTGGAGGAGCGGCCTGAGGTTCCCCTTTCGCTCGGGATCCGCCCACAGTCGCTCAAAGCCGTCGACCCTCGTTTGCTCCCAGACCCCTTCCTCCAGAAAAGTGTCTCGCAAGTAGTCGTGGACCGCCTTTTGTTTGAATCGCACCGTACCCTCTTCTACACAGTCTTTGTGAGACCATCCAGAGTAGAACAAAAGGCACGCCCCTTGGTGGATGATCTTTTCAAGTAACTTCTTCAGCTTCTTGTTCGACAAGAGGTTGACAAGGCAGCGATTCTTAAAGGCGTCCTTCGGCTGCCCAGTGGAGAAGTGCCATCCCAGATCACGGGTTTGCAGCTTCAGGATGGACCAGTGCATCTTGGGGAAGCTGTGTACTGGTCAGCGACTTGCTCGAGACTGTACTATGATTCTCACATGTATTCCTTGTCCGATCGGTAGGCGTTGATTTTCCGCAGGTACTGGTACAGATCCGTGCCCTTGTCGCCCCATATCGCTTTAGCAAAGATGCTATTGAAGCCGATATCCCCGGGCTCCATGAGGGAGTGGATGCCGCCTGATAGAACAGTCCAGAACGGTCGACAGACACTGATCAGCCATCGATGAAGTCGAGCACGATGAGCTTTGAAGCGGCCCAGCTCTTCGACCGCACCCTTCTTCTTCTTTTCGACGTTTCTAAGAAGCACCTTATGCCTAGCACTGCTCAGAGTCCTCAAGCTACGGGCACTCCAGACATCCTCATCCCAGAGTGAGTCCCATTCTTCCCGGCACTCTTCCAGATTGGAAGGGATACCAAATTTGAAGGTGCCGCGGTGCTTGTCAATCGGGTAGATCGGCTTTGGGCAGGTCGGTAAATCATCCAACGTGAAGGGAAGAGTATCCCGGGGGGATATCACCAGGTCCGCGACATCGGGATCATAGACCTTGCGCTCTTCGTCGGGAGATGCGGAGGGGGGAGTGGGTGAAGAAGGTGCATCATGCGATTGGGGCGTGCCAATTTCGGTGGCCTCGTCGAAGGTTTGGCGGGGCAAGGAAGAGGGTGGGAGCGGGGCCGGAATAGAGCTGGAGAAGAGGCCTTGCGAGGGCTTTCGAGAGATGACTGCGATGGTGGAGGAAGAGGATCTGTCAACCAGCACAGAGGAGCCGTTGACCGTCTTTTCAGACGTCTGGCCTGCTGGGAAGGATTTGTCGTCGAGTACCACTTCCGCTGCATGCCGTGAGTGGGTATTCATGCTGGGTATAGTACTTACAATCGCCTCCTCCGGGGCTAGGTTGAAATCGCCAGACCCTCGAGGATGGTACCGCCGTGATTGGTCCTCCCTCCAACCCTGCGCTTCTGCGTGCCCAGCTCATCGTCAACTCTTGGGTTCTCGAGGTCACCCGTCCGCCTGCCCCTGCTCTTCCTGCCATGATTGCGTCCACTGGTCCCACCGCCCGGCGCCCCGTTAGTGCGGTCAGCGAACAGCCCTGCCGATATTTTCACAAAGATCGCATTGCACCCCACACTTCTTCGCCTTTCAAATCAACTCAGACATCATGAGGGAATCGGTACTGGAGGCGTACGAGTTTTGCGAGGTAAGCTCATTGTTTATAGACCCCTCCTTCCGATCTGTGCTGACCATATGCTCTGCTGTCATAGAAACACGACCTTGCTGCACTCTGGGCTTATCTTTTCGCCAACTGGTATGCGCCAGGGAGGTGGGAGCTGTGGGCACGCTCTGCCCATTTTGGCTTCAGGACGATATCATCAATGGCTCCCCTCTCAGAGATGCCGACCTGGACTGTTACAATGTCTGTGTGTCACCCCAGTATTATCTGGAGCACTTTGACAGTGCAGTGCTAAAGGTGAAGCTGTCATCATCTCACCAAAGTCACTACAGAGGTGCAAGGGATATTCAGCCTTACAAGGAGTGGTTGCTGCTTGTGACCGCACCCACACCGGGTGCTGGTGATTGTCCGTGAGTTGGCGCAGTGGAGTACTGTGGGCTGTGGGCACGCTCTGCCCATTTTGGCTTCAGACGAGAACCCCCGACACAAGCACCAGACCGACCTTGAGCTCATGACTTGCACCTGCAACGAGTCCCTCTATTCACCGTGAGTGCATGCCCAGTACTACAACGTCAGGAAATCCCGCGCTGACCCCCTCAATCAGTGTCTTCCTCTGTCCTGGCCTCGGTAGGTGGCAACGTGGGTTGCGGCCAAGAAGAACTCCTGGCTTCGGCTGCGTCGTACGGAGGACGAGGTATCGGCCGAGAGGATGTGTGGCTATCTAAGTATACGAGGGCGTGCCCGAGCGCTTGCGCCTGCAGCTTCGGGACCGTAAGATCAAGCCCAATGGCGATGTTGAGCAGTTCGCAGAAGATATCCTGGACGGTCGCCGCGTTATACTGTAGGGTGAAGAGAGATACATGGAGATTGTAGAGCCGGGCCCGGGGCGAGCGGTATGTACGGGGTGGTTACCTATGCATGGCTATTCCTGAAATGGTCTTCTTGCTTGAACGAGGCAGTCAGCGAACTGTAAACTGCCCTGTCCGGTCCCCAAAGACCACAAGTATTAGCGAGAAGGGCTTCAAAGTCGGCATGTACAGTACGAGTACAGTACATCCGGCGTCTACTGGTTATCAAGAATGCATTACAGATCACATGGAAATGAACCACCCCACCACCCCATCACCCATCACCCCACCCGCATCATATCTCCCTACCTCCCACCTTGCGTCGTACTCGTTTCTCTCCCCATCTATGCACCATCTCCAAGCCTCCAAGCATAGTCCTAATCCTTCCCATCCTTCTTCCCACCCCCACCCCCACCCCCACTCGAAGCAGTGGCCGTAGTAGCGCTCGTGGAAGCTGCTACCATAGCTGCTGGGGGTGCCGTCGGGAGGGTCGAGGTGGACGTTGATGAGGACGCGGAAGCAGCACCTTCGGGTGTGGGCTTGGTGGAGTTGGAGGGGTTGGAGGTGGATGTGGAGGAGGACGAAGGGGCGGGGGCAGGGGCAGGGGCGGGGGAGGGGGAGGAGGCTAGTCTCGCGTCGAGGGCTTTTAGAGCCATTGCCCTGATTTCACGTCAGCCCAGCCCGATAGAAGGAAAAGGAAAAGGTAAAAAAAAAAGAAAGAAAGGAAGGAAGACGTACCGACGTCGTTCAGCCTCAGCACGGGCATTACCAGCCCCACCGGCGCCACCGGGTCCTGGCAGGAGACCGTAGCTGCCGGCTGGTTCTTCCCAGGGCTGGACGAGGCCGATTTTGGTGGACACGGCGAACACTTTGTTGGCGGCGATCGAGATGTATGGGCTATTTTTCTTTGTTAGTTGAGGTTTGAGAGGGGAAGGGGAAAAGAAAGGAGAAGGAGAAGGACATACCGGACAGGAGGAGGGAACCAATACTGAAAAGCAAACGTCTCACTCCGATCCCCCCTAAACTCACCCCCTTCCGCCAACTTGAAAAACCTCAAATACACCCACCCCACAAAGAAGCCAAATTGGATGAGCATATAGGGGGAGGGGTCGAGGAGGATGACGAGGATGTTGGAGATGAGGAGGTGGATGCCGGGGAGGGACTTGACGCGGACTTTGATGGTGCCGAGGAGCTGGACTTGATGTTCGGGGATGAGCTGGGTGAAGGCTACGAGGAAGGCGACTTGGAGGCCGGAGAGGCCGTGGTAGGGTGTGCCGTAGCTACCACAAGGTTAGTTTAGGGAGAGGGAGGGAGGGGGACTTACATGGTGTCTTCTTCTTTGCCGGTGACAAAGAACATCAACCAGCTGAAACCAAAGGCGATGATGTTGGATCCGACGATGACCAAGATACAGAAGCGAATGAGTTCACGGGGACCCCAGACACGTTCGAGATATCTGCACGCCAGGGGAAGAGAGATTGCAGAGATCACAGCCTACATCCCTATCAGCATTGTCCCTTGCAGTGGATTGCTGACTCGCGTTGATGAAGTTGAGCTCGACGAGGCCGGCAGTGAAGAGCGTCCAAGGATACTTCCAGCTCGTCTCTGGGACCAACAAGAGCCAGTCAAGGGAGTGGAGGGTGGAGGCGCCATAGGGGTCCCTGGGGTAGATTGCGTGCCAGATGAGGGCGGGGACGGTGACTGCGAGGTAGAGGGCGGTGATGGCCCTGGTGGCGAGGGGGACGGACTGGAGGAACGGGAGGATCGTCAGCGGCGGCATCGCGGTGATAGAGGCAACAGACGCGTCGAAAATGGGGAGTGTAATTACTATCAGCGGGTTTATGCAGCGGGGAGGGCCGCCGGGGTAATTACTACATGGATCTATCCTCTCGTTCTTTTCACTGTCACTCTGCGCACGATGCTCCCCCCAGACCCCCCAAAGCTCTCCCACCGCGACATCGATCCCAGTGAGGACCTCTACGACGACGATGCCGACATCCACTCGGACACTGAAAACACGGTCGAACTCTCGTCTACAGAGATAAACATCCTCATCTATCTCGTACGTCTCCCCTATTATAGAAGCATCCATCCTGACGCCTCGTAGTATTTGCTGGAAAGCAACTTTACACATACAGCGTTCACGCTCCTCTCCGAGTCAAACCTCCCCTCGACGACGCTGTTCCAGCACTTCAACCCCTCCTACCCAACACCTTCCTCCTCCTCCTCCGCCGCCACCTCCAAAGCCAACCGCGCCAACGCCCGCGCCAAAGACCTCGCCAACCGCCACCCCGGCTCGTCCCCCTCCGCCGCCCCCACCTTTGGCCGTGCAGGCGGGCGGATCGAGCGGGGCGAGCTGGTGAGGAAGTTGTGGAAGGCGGTCAGGTGGGAGGAGGTGGAGAGGCATGTGGGGCCTGGGGGGGAGGTGGTGGGGGGGCAGTGTCAGGGCAAGTTTCATTTGCTTGTGCCGCATGTGTGTCCGGGGGGAGGGGTGGGGGCGGGGGGGTTGGAGGTGAGTGGGGTTGGGGAGGCGCCGCCGCCCAAGAGGCCTGAGGTTTTCCCTGCGCCGGAGGAGCGGGAGAAGAGGGAAGACAAGGAGAAGGAGGTGGAGAAACCGAAAACGAAAAAGAAAGCCCGCCGACCGAGCTCCTCCCCACCACCCCGGGACCGGGACCGTTCCCTCTCCCCTCCACCCAAGAAATCAGCGCAAGAATCCAAAAAAGAAAAACCCCGCAAGCGCGCGAGGTTGAGCGATGGTGAAGATTCTGAACCAGCCCCTCCAAAGACCAAAAAGAAGGAGAAGGAGAAGGAGGGCGGGCTGAAAGTGCCAACTACAAGCGCCCAAGCGTCTCGGGCTACGACGCCTGGGGACAGTAGGCCGAATTCGAAGGGGAAGGAGAAGGAGCCGAAGAAGGTCGAGCTCGGGGAGGAGGTGGGGGTTTGGACGGAACACCGTGATGCTGCAAGTCCCTCCCATCTCTGTATAACATAGGAAATAGGCTGATTAGGGGCTAGGTTTCGAGTGTGGCTTGGAATCCTAAAAACGTCGACCTTCTAGCCAGCGGCTCTAACGACGGATTCGTCCGTCTCTGGGAATTCCTCCCTCCCCCACCCTCCTCCTCTTCCCCGCCCAACCCCAACCCATCTCTAACCCTGCCAACCCGGCCAACCGGCATCTCCCACAAAGGCATCGAATCCAACAAGAAGACCATCACCGCCGTCGCCTGGCACCCGGACGGCACCATCCTCGCCACCGGCTCGCAGGACGGGGTGGGCCGGCTGTTTACGCCGAGCGGGCAGTTGCAGGCGATCATGAGTTATGGGAGGGGGGCGGTGAATGCGATGAAGTGGTCGCCGTCGGGGATGGCGATTTTGGTGGGGAAGGATGATTTTACGGTTTGTAAGTGGGTGGATAGGGGGGGGAGTATGGCGATGAAGATGTGTTTTGATGCGCATACTAGTAAGTCCCTCACACCCCCAAGCTTTCTCGGCTCGGTAAAAACAGGGGCTGATGGGAGGAAAAGAGGAAGTGAACGACGTAGACTGGCTCGACGACGACGTCTTTGCCTCCGCCGGCAACGACCATACCATCCTCGTCCACTACGCCGATGACAAGCGTCCCCGTTTCACATTCAAAGGCCATACCGACGACGTGACAAAGATCAAGTGGTCCCCGCTTGTACCGGGGAAGCAGGTGACGGAGCGGCTGTTGGCGTCGGTGGCGGATGATGGGAGTTGTATGATTTGGAAGTTGCCTTATTATCCGTCGGGCCGGGGGGGGAGTGTGAGTGTGGGAGGAGGGGGTGGGGGTGGGTTTGGGCCGACGGGGAGGTCGATTTCGCCGGTGAAGAAACATGATCCCTTAAGCGACGAGGACGACTATTTCCATCCATCCCAGTCCAACACCCCTCTCCCCGGCTCTGGCTCTGGCTCTGGCGCAGGCAAAGGCAAGGGCACGGGCACGGGGGTGGATAATTGCCTGCATAGGCTGAGTGTGGTGAGCGGGAGTGAGAATAAGCGGATGGACCAGCTCGAGTGGATGCCCGCGAACGACTCTGGCCGGTTGATCCTCGCCGCGGGGGGGCAGGACGCCACCGTCAAGCTCTTTGACGCGCTCTCCGGCGAGACGCTCCACGTCCTCTCCGGCCTCGAATCAGGGACAGGCAGCTTGGCCTTCAGCCCCAGGGCGTTCCTCGGGCTGGAGGGGGTGAAGGGGAAGGGCAAGGTTGGGAGGTTGGGGGTATTGGCCGGTGGGGGGTGGGATGGGGTGGCGAGGGTGTGGGATGTGGAGAGTGGGAAGGTGCTTTGGGGGATGGAAGTGGAGGAGGATGAGAAGAAGAGGGATGTTAGGGAGAGGCCTATGATGGTGAGTATCCTCTTTTTGTGGTGGTGGGAGAGGGCTGACGTGGGGTTAGCTTTCGATGGGATGGAGGGAAGATGGGAGGCATATGGCGTGTGGGTTGTTCAACAAGACGTTGTATATGGTGAACGTCATGAAGGCGATCGGGGGCAAGGAGAAGGAAAGCAAATAGACGGTTTCATATATGGTAGTTTTTGGGTCTATAAGGATGCGAAATAGCAACAACATTCGATGTGAGGCCCCCCGGGTCCCGGCTTTGACCGCAAGGACACGCTGAACCGTCATCTCCAACAGCGTCGATGGAAGAGTGCGCTTGTGACGATCCATACTGTCCCCGCACAGAGGCTGAAGTGATGTACGTTCAGCGAGAACAGGGTCAGTAACCAAGCCGGTGATACGCATTCGAAGACCAACTTTGTACAGCTTCGCGGCGCACTACTGCGTTCTGCTCTTGCATTGATCACCCCTCTTTACTTCATGAAGCATGGTTTTATTCCTTGCTCCCCTTGTCGAGCTTGGACCGCTGTATCTCTGGATCTCCTCAAATTCCATCACTGCCAGTGGAAGCATTCTCCTACATCACTGGAACTCCCCGTCCTCTCCATGATAGCCCCAGAGACCTTCCGCGAAAGCCTGCATTGATGTCGGAGAATGCTTCCACTGGCAGTGATAGAATTTGAGGAGATCCAGAGATACAGCGGTCCAAGCTCGACAAGGGGAGCAAGGAATGAAACCATGTGCTGTTGTACTTGTGGTAAAGAGGGAGCGTGATGTATAATCAGTCGATGCCAAGACGGATGCTGTGAGTGAGTATGAGACTGAGTATAGTGATGCGTGCAGTATGCAAAATGGATGGCCACTGAAGCGTGTAGAGTTCAAAGGTGACGTGTCGTTATTGTGCCAAGCAGAAACAAAGATTGATTGGGCTCAAAGATTGTCATGACAAACTAAAGATTGATCAGTTTTCTGCATACCTTTTGGACGCGGCCAAATTTTTGTTTTTATTTTACCTCCTAGGTATTCAATCAGCTTACTCACCAGAGCACCATGTTTCGACGGACCACCGACTACGATAGACCCCACCCCAGAGTGGGTTTGGGCAGCTTGATCGCTGTCGGCTTGACGGCGGGACTGTAGGTGTTGCCGTGTAAACGATATATCTATCGTAGATAGGGTCGGGTGTTACCAGATTGGTTGACAGAGTGCTGTAAGACCATGACCGCCGGCGAAAAGGTAGAACAAGCCTTGGCAAGACGCCCTAACTCGCATGTACCTGGCTTAACGCTTGCACGACTATTGAGTAGACCAGACACCGAGAAGGAGAAGCTGAACCTGACCATGCATCACGGCCAGGTGAGCATGACCAGAGCGTTACTCGTACAGTCACTGACGACTTTATAGGGCGCTTTGCTTGGTCTAGTACGCGCAACGATGGGCGTCTACGGTACGAGAGGTCCTTTCGTCGACTTCATCTTCACAGGAATGAGGCTGTCGGTTGACCAGACCTTGGAGAATTGGGTTGGGTCGGGTGCCCTCCCATGGACATGGCCAGTCGATGAGCAAGTGATCGATATTGTACACAAGGGAGTCTTTGCGTTTGCAACGGAATATGTGAGTCATTTCAGATATACCACGCGACCCGAGCGGTGAGCTGATGGCTGAAACGATCGACAGATCTGCGAATTCTGGTTCCAGTATGTAGCGGCATGTAGCAGTCGCTAGCGATTCGGCTGTATCACACTCTCTTAGCGCTTCGTTCGTGCAAATCATATGCAAGTCCAAGTCATCATATGGTTATGGTCTAGTCTACACTTTATGATCTTCCGGTACTTGCTCTCCGTGGAATGCATAAGCCTTGACTGGCTTCCACGGACCTCCCAAATATTCCCAACTAAGTGAACGACCACAATCAGCGCGGTTCCCGGTTCTAGTAAGCTCAATCGATCGACTTACAGCTCGAACCCCACCGCTCTACCTCTATACTGCCCTGTCGCTTGCCCTTCTTGCTTCATATCCTCAAACAACTTGGTCACCTCGCTCAGACATGTCTCCACTTGTTCTTCATCTGAGGCCTTGTTAAGCACTGTCACGTGCGGTCGTTTCATGGGCTGAAGGTCTTGATTCGTCAAACGATCCTGCTCGTTGTTGACGCCTTTCTTTAGAAAGCTCAAGAGCTGTTGGTGGATTCGAGGGGTCGTATTTGATGGTCGCTCTCGAAGGTTCACCATCACTCCCCTATTACCCATCTTGACAGGCTCCCCAATAAACACATCCCAACCTTGTTGTTCCGCACAGATACGCTCTAACCGCTCCTCCAGTTCACCGAATCGATGGACCGGGATGGCGTGAAAGAGTGTGACATGAGCCGTAAGGAAATTGCGGGACGATGGAAAGTACTTTGAGCGAAGATCGGTCAAGAACTTGTGAGACGCCTTATCGAGGGTGAGTGTGAGGATCAAAGGACTCTGAGGGTGGATGGGCCCAGGCATCTTGGTGCTGAATAGTGTTGTATGCATGAATGGGCTCAACTTCTATTTCGAAAGATACGTAGAGATCGTCGGTTATGTACCAGTCCGGTTCCTGTGACAAAGGTGACAAACGCAGCGTGATTTTCATTTTCCATGACGCAATTACATCATTGACGCGTTGAGGACAGTTACTTTACTTCTTCATTATATAGTGAATCGAGCGAGAACGGGCTGCTTTCTCAATTGTCTTTAATTCCTCTGCGGCCCTCGTATGAGTCTAGCCCAGCCACAGATACGTTGCCGGCTGGTACGTGCCTTCGACCTGCGCTACCAGCTCTAACGTCCCGATCTGCCTATCCCGCTTAAAGACAAACGTGTTATTAGTAGTTAGACCTCCTGCGACGATATAATCCTGCCCCCCTGCAGTGGCCGTCATCCCAGCTGGGGACAGCTCCATGGCTCGGATCTGTCGAGCGCCGTGTGCCATTGCCGATTGAATTTGGGTGATGGCACCGTTGTTTCCGATCGACCACACCGCTAGGGTATCCGAGGGCTGTGATGACACAGTATCAGCATGTGTTCACCTTGGCTCTCCTTGAAGCATTGGCAGACTCACATCACCGGACTCAATGAGGGCAGCAGCTGTCAAATTACGGTTTGAAGCGTACAAGAATCGACCGTCGTTACTGACGTGTATCTCCGCCGCACTGATATTCGTGGAGAAAGTAGCATTACTCGGGTAGATGGGTTGACTAAAAGTCAGTGGGTGTTCATTGCGATCTAAAACTTACTCGTCCTGAATCTGGCTGAGTTCTCCGGTCCCCTGATCCACCTTGTATGGCCTGACGTTGACCGCGAGTTCGTGCAGGACATACATGTATTGTCCATTTGATGTGAGAGCCAAATGGCGAGGACCAGAGCCGTACGGTTGCTGATAGTTTGTAAAGTTTGAGAGGCTATTGTTGGCACCGACCTTGTACACGTGAATTTTGTCTTCACCCAGATCAGGCAAGTAGAACACGGGCAAGAAAGGGTGAGGAGCGATCATGTGAGGGTGTGATGTCGCTGCGACCAGTCAGCATGGATCTCTGGCAAACCTAAACCTACCTTGAGATGTATTATCGTTGCCAGCAACGCCGATCTGGCCCTCCACGGGAGTGTATCCCGGAAAGTCAAGGAGTCCCTTGTTGGTCTGCGAGCCGAATTTCCCGTTTTGAGGGTCAAACGAGAACGTCGAGGCGCTCTGTCCATAGTCTGATTGCGATCAGCTACAATTCATCAGGGGTTTAACTCACAATTCGCTACTCCAGCCGTCTTGCCATCCGGGAAAAAGGCACAATGCGCCGCCCCAACACCGTAGTCCGGTACAGGGTAACCTCCAGTGTCGACTGAGTCAATGTACTTCATTTCGCCAGTCTTGGGGTCGAGAGAATAAGAAGTGAGATAACCGGGAGCGTTCGGGACCGCGTGATCATTACAGCCTACAACAATGTCTGATACCATTTAGCAATGGCCGAACTACCGAGCAGCTCACTTGAATTGATTGGGTGACGGCTCAGCCATGGCTTGAGGTTTCCTTCCGATGTATTGTAGCGCGCAGCCACCTTGAGAGTATTAGGGGTCACGAATGGATTGAACTCGAGGACGGCATAACTCGAGTTGTCTGTGCGAGAGGTCAGCAGTGCCGAGACCTCTCAGCTCTCAGTGTTCATACTCACAACCTCCTTGAATGATTCTGATGGGATCAATCTTTGCGCCATTGTTGTTGCGTGAGATCAAGGAGGAGGGAGCAGCTTGGGAAAGCGTCGCGGTAGCGAGCAGCAATAGTGGAAGAATGGTCATTGTAACTGGAGAAGGGGAGGCTCTGGGTAAGCTTGCTAGTACTCCTGATTTACGGGAACCCATATGCATATATATATATATATATATATATAGACAGGACCGGGATGGTCATTTAGAAGAAAGCCGAAGTGACTGATGTTTCGGTCGGACTAAGGTCGAAATGAAGAGCGGTAAGTAGCGGGATTTTGCGGCTGTACCTGTAAGAATGAGGGGCGACTCCAGGTGTTGCGAGTGCTTCTTTACTGACTAGTGCTCTTTGATAGAAGCACTCGCAACACCACACGGGTTCCCTTCTCCCGGACGTTTCGGACGATTCCCTCTCCGATGGTTCGAACCGTCATCAGGCATTATTGACCGTACGCAAGTCAACATCGTAACCTCATTATTGCAGGGTGAGCCGGTAAAGAAGACAGAGTGTGTTCCAATCGGACTAGTGTACAGATTCGAGGTGGCCAATGCACATGACCTGATCAGGATTTCAACGATCTCCTCGGCGCCGCAACATCAGGTGATCCTCAAACCTAGGGCTTCGGCTCACCGCGGCTGAACAGTCAGATTTTCAAGATCCAACGATCCAACAATAGACATGTACACGTAAATCTCGCCCTCGACGAGCAGAGCAGGTCACGGCACCAAGGCTGAAGGCCGAAGAGAGGGCATGTGACATCCCAACCCAGTGTACTTAGCAGAATGCCGAGGAGGACGCTCAGAGCTAGGTCATCGGAGCCGAGTACGTGCCTGGAAGGTGAACGGCTGATGTTCTCTTTTGTTCGAGACCAGAGATGGCAAACTGCATGCGCATAGGACTATTACAGGTCACATCCTCAAGTGCTGTTTATCTCCCAGATGTCTAGCTGGCGCACTGTAGCGCCTCCGTCCGCGTCAAGCCGCACGGCCGTGTTCAAAATGACGGACAGTATACCCTGGTGGAGATGCTACACCGCCCGTTGAAGAAGATCTCTATCACATCATAATCCAAGAACACCCGAATCTCGAGGGTCTCAATGTGCTCATTTCCTTTAGCATTCAGCTCGAACAATGTAAAGGGCGCTTCCTCGGGGACGGTGTTGATGTCTGTCTGAGTGTTGGACAGACTTCGGTCCACGCACACTCTCTGTTCCTGAGGCAGATAGTGTATGTCGGTCCTACTCGTCACATCGAGAGACCCTCGAGCGCTTAGATTGAAGTGTTTACTAGTCCTGGCGATTTCTGCAAACATCAGGATCTCGGAAGCCAATGGTGCTGAGGTAATAACGACAGGCTCCGAGGCCAGTTGGACTTCGGCTCGATGAGTGATCAATGCGCCCCGCAAGCTCTGAAGCTCGTGGATAGGCCGGTTGCCAAGCGTCATCACACCATTTTGGACCGTTACACATTGCCTATTCCCTTCAAATCTCTCGTGATGAGGCCGGAACTGGCGGAAAGTGTTAGAAGGAAAACCTCCCGGGGCACACCGAAACAGCCAGTCCAAGTCTTCTCTTTTACGCGTTTCGGTTGCCGTTTCGAGGTTGATAAAATTGGTACTCGTACGCTCCCAGTTGATACCAAGATCGCCGGACCAGAACGATGTTCGCGTGACCTTCGGATGCATGGGGTGGAAATTATAGATGGAGCAGCTGAAAGAGTTGTGTCTTCTCGGTGTGTAAAGCAAGTCACCGAGACTCAGAGCGGTGATATCATCGCATTCTCATTCGCGCATCATTGCGCGCATTCCTCATCTGCCTCTCCACTCCACCACCATGCCGCCCCCAGAATCCCTTCCCCGCTCCGAAAACACCACCCCCGCCCCATCCACCACCAACACCCCGCCCATCCCCAACATCCCTCCCCGCCAGTCATCTTCCACCGCCCAGGGCGTGCCCCGCTCGCTCGGCACGTCCTTCAGGGGGCCTTCGCCCCTCTCTGCTCCCAGGGTTGAGGGTGATAGGAGTGCGAGCACCGGCAAGGAGGGCAAGGAGGAGAAGGGCAAGGGCAAGACGGCGTCGCCTCGGGCGTCGAATGAAAACCTGATCGGCGCCAAGACGGAGCCTCGCGCCCAACACGGGGCGTCAGCTCTGACAGCTGCCCTCGGTGCGTCCCAGCCCTCTTCCCCCGCCGTCCCTGCGTCCGAAACCCTCGCCCCCACGCCGAGTCTCTCCAGGCAAGGCTCGTCCAACTTTGCGAGGCCGTCCTTATCCCGAGCGGGGTCGGGCGCATCGACGCCGAAATTGGGGGTCAGTGATTCCAAGACGCCGCAGAGTGGGCCCGGGGATTCGAGTTTGTCGAATCTTGTGGATGTGACGGATGAAGAGAAGGCACGGGTGCTGAGGAGGCATTTGGTGAGTGCGGAAGAACGACAGGTGAACCCTTCCCCTTCGCCGAATGGGTCTGTGGCCGCGACGCCTACAAAGGTGGATTTTGACGAGCCGGTCATGCCCGGGGAGAGCGGAGTGACGGGTTATGGTAGTACGGACAACACTAGGGATGATGCCGACCAGTTCCCCATCCCATACGATGCCCCCGGTGGGGATGTCACGTTCGTCCTCTTCTTTTTTACACGTCTTTCGACTTTTTTGCTGATTTATTACGGCAGACACGATCTTTATAAATGGCAGCATGACCACCGATCCCGTCCCGGCCGTTCCGCCTCCTTCTCCCACGTGCCCGTGGACCGCTCAGATCTCGACCCTTCGCTCGCGCATATCAAAGAGCCAGGAGGGTTCAGGAGGAATTTCGTGGTGAACAGGGCGCAGGAGCAGGGGTTGGAAGCGCCGGATATGGTGAGGAATGTGATTGATTTCTTGTTCCTCTATGGGCACTTTGTAAGCCTTCCCTTCTTTACCACTCTACCTTGGAGGTGTGAGCTGATGGGGAGCAGGCGGGAGAAGATTTGAATGAAGACGAAGACGTGCTAGAGGAAGAAGACGAAGAAGCCTTCCCCGCCGGGGCCGGATCGTCCACCTATGCCCGCAGACCTTTCCCCGCCGATGACCTGGAAGACACTGCGCGAGGGCAGCAAGTGGGCGAGAGGAGGCCGTTGTTGGGGTCTACGAAGAGGACGATGAGTAGGCGTAGGAGGGCGAAGAGTGGGCCTGGGCAGGGGACTGCGAGTGTTACGCAGGCTGTTCTTATGGCTAGTTTTTTTTTCCACAAGTATGAGGGGCGGCGCTGACTTTGGTGTAGTTGTTGAAGGGGTTCGTCGGGACTGGTATTCTCTTTATGGGTAAAGCCTTCTTCAACGGCGGTATCCTCTTCTCGGCCATTGTGATGGTTGCTATCGCCATGATCTCGCTCTGGTCCTTTTTGCTCCTCGTCGAAGCCTACATGGCTGTTCCCGGGTCATTCGGTGATATCGGTGGAGCATTGTATGGTAACAATATGAGGTATATCATCTTGTTCTCTATCACCGTCTCGCAAATTGGTTTCGTAGCTGGTGAGTCTTGCCCATGCGTCCTGGGATGGAGCTGATGGATATAGCGTACACCATCTTTATCGCCGAGAACCTTCAGGCATTCATCATGGCGGTGACGAAATGCGCTACCTATATCCCTATCAAGTACCTCATCTTTGCTCAGCTCATCATCTTTATGCCGCTGTCCATGATCCGGAACTTGGCCAAGCTTTCTGGTACGGCCCTTGTCGCCGACGCCTTCATCCTCATCGGCAGTACGTCTCCCCTCCTTTTTGTGGCGCGCTGACCCGTGTAGTTTTGTACATTGGCGGCAACGAAATTTCCGTCTTGTCCAAGAGCGGCGTCGCCGACGTCCAACTATTCAACCCCGACTCTTTCCCCCTCCTCATCGGCACCGCCGTCTTCGCCTTTGAAGGTATCGGCCTCGTCATCCCCATCACCGAGTCGATGAAGGAGCCGAAAAAGTTCCCAAAGCTGTTGTCGGGGATCATGGTGCTTGTGGCGGTGTTGTTTGCTGGGGCGGGGGTGATGAGTTATGCGGCGTATGGGAGTGATATACAGACTGTTGTTATTGTGAATTTGCCGCAGGATGACAAGTTTGTGCAGGCTGTGCAGTTTTTATGTACGTCCCCTCCCCTCTCCCCTTCCCCTTTCACTTCTTCTCCCGGTAAAGGCAAGCTAACAAGGCTACAGACTCTGTCGCAATCCTCCTCTCCTCCCCGCTCCAGCTCTTCCCAGCTGTACGTATCATGGAGAACGGTCTCTTCTCCAAATCCGGTAAACACAACCCCTCGGTCAAGTGGCAGAAGAATGTGTTTAGGGCGTGTACGGTGGTTTTCTGTTCGTTGTTGAGTTGGGCGGGGTCGAGCGAGTTGGACAAGTTTGTTTCGTTGATTGGGAGTTTTGCTTGGTACGTCACTTCCCTCTTCTTTCTTCATCCTCTCAGGATCTTGTCGTCGGGATGTGGAACAAGGAGCTGATTCCCAGAGATAGTATCCCCCTCTGCTTCATCTACCCCCCCATGCTGCACCTCCGCGCATGCGCCGATACCCGCCGCGCCAGAATCCTGGACTGGACGTTGATCGTGTTTGGGGTGGTGGTGGGCGCGTATACGACGGTGCAGACGTTGAGGAGTTTGTTTATCCCGACGCCGGCGGGGCCAAAGTTTGGGAATTGTGAGTAAGAGAGACTGGTGTTCAGGGTTGCCCGCGGAGGTTGAAGGGCGGAGGTGAGAGGGAAGAAGGAGTAAGAGAGGAGAGAGGTGGAAGGAGGAGGAAGGCATGTATTACCATAAAAGTCTTCTAGATCTTAATCACACGCTTGTGTAGCATGTTGTTCATGAGCATACCTGTTATTATCATTATCTACATGCTCTTTGTAAATATACGAAATGCAGAGCATTGTCTTCATTGTGCCTCGTGCTTTTGACAGAGTGCTAACTACATAACAGCCAAAGACATGATTTTACCTTCCTCCTGCACACACGTCATGAGCGAAGACCGAGAATGTGAGGGTCTACTCTCGAGCACTGATATAGCCGGACAAGATGAAATCTACAATCAACGCGGGATGGTCATGAGCAAGGCGCCTTCTGGTGGGAAAGAGGCTTACCGTCTAAAACTCGTTCGTCGTTCTGGAATCGGCGCGTAGTCTGATCGTCCTTACGCGTGTCGTCAGTTGGTTGTTGATCCTGCGAGGCTTCTTGTCCCGCATCGTCGCCAGGGGATGACGCCTCGGCGGCTGTAGGCTGCTGCTGTTGCTCCGATTCGCCGTCTTGAGCGGAGGACGTGGACTGTTGCTCAGATGGCGCAGCGGTGCTGTCGCTCTTCTTAGTGTTGAAGGTTTCCGCCGCCATGACTCGAAGATGGTACCCGTACTGTATTACTGCTAGAGGCTAGTTGTGTAAGCTGAGTATTTATGTCTATGTCTCCGAGCTCTTCATTAACACTCCGACCATGGTCAAAAGACCAAAATGACTACACTCCACCCTCGCGCAAGCCAGACACCAAGTATATTGCGAAGATGATTGCCATGACGAGTGCTCAGGTGCGGTCTCCTGCTGTACCACGGGCGGGTCTTTCTCTCTTTGGAAGACGGAGTTATCATATTGCGCAGCTGATGAAAAGTCTCAGTAGCTATTGTCACAGAGAGGCAGCAGCCGCGTGGCACGCTCATTACACAAGATAAAGGAGAGATGCGAAGGCCATATAATACTGGACATATTTGGAGTAGATTTGACGTCAGCCATCCTGTGACTTTGGTCAAAATGTTCACTGAATGTCCCTTTTAGCGTACAGTAGCTAATGCTATGACATGAAGATAGTCTGCTTCGGGTGAGACTTAAAGGTTATCGTCTGCGTCTCTCTTTGTGATCGCCGCCTTGTTGGCAAATTTTGCTGTTCTCTTCATTATGCATCTTCGATGAACCACAAAGGATCGTGGGTGTACGCAGGTCTCTGTGGTAGGGCCTTCTTTTTTCAGTGTGTACAAGGAAGAAATGTTCCGAAACCATATGAAGCCCGAGTTGTTGCAAGCTCCACCATAGACGGCAGAGATGTGCAAGGTCTCGAGCTTGATACTGTGGGTGATTCAGCGTTGCAGCATATGACGATTACGTCATATCAGCTGAGACAAAGATTGTCTATCATTCTTCAGCATAATTCCTCTTCAGCGGGACTGTAAGCGAAAGCATTTGATCGATGCAATACGCACTCGGATGATGCCCAGTTGAACGATGTGCTCAACCTCATACATGGTGATGCCGACTCCTCAGGTGATCACTCGCGCAAGAAGTTTGGACTGGGCAAGGTAGTTGGAGATGAAGGATCTAATTTTAGTGCAGGAGAAAGGCAGCTCTGAAAGCACACAAACTGTTTAAGTAGAATGAGACTAGTTGCTAATGAGAGATCCATAGTGGCGTTAGTACGAGCACTCGTAAGAGAGCGCAGAATCCTCATGTGGGATGAAGCCACATCCTCGGTCGACCTAAGAACAATTGTTCTCATTCAAAGGATCATCCAGTCTCAATCTACAAACAGCACGGTGATTGTACAGAGTATAGCTAACCTGAAGTGAGGCTGACGTGACTCGCGATTAGATCATCTCGATAGCCCACAGACTTCAGACTGTGGCATACTACGACCGTATACTAGTCATGGATGATGGTGAGGTCGCCGAGATGGACTCCCCCCTCAGTCTTTTCGATGATCCCAACTCCATCTTCGGGGGCCTTCGTGATGAAAGCGTAAGTCATGATCGGCCTGGAAAACACAGAGGATTACGCGTTCAGCATTGCTCCGTGCTAGGCAGAGGAGCAGGTTTGGATGACAATACTGGGGCTATACAAACTCTGTAAATGTACTACATATGTATCTTTGCGTATCATGTTGATGAATGGAGGAAAAGACAAGAAAAGCAAGCAGCGGGGGCCTGGCGGGGGCGCATGCGCAGCGGGCAAGACCACGGCCAGATTATGTAATGTCATCTCGGCTGCCGAAGTTCACCACCAGTAGCCGGCGTTGCGCCCTTGTTGCGCCCATACCTCTATCATTTCATTTGTACATCCACCTCCAATCACACATTCCCAGCTATGGCCAGAAAGGCCGCTGTAAAGTACAGATCCCTTCGGTCAAACTTGGTCAATCTTCCGCTCTCCCTCTATGCCCAGCTGGGTCAGCAACAAGCTGTAAGTTCCGGCACACTTTTGACCGATTCGCTAAAGAAAAAAACCCCAGAGGCCACAGGGACTTATCCTTCACCTTTCACCGCTATCAGTCCCCTCCTCTTCGTCTTCAAGGAACCCCAAGGCTGCGTACCTGGGATGGTCGGGCTTGAACGCGGCGGTGTCGCCTTCGCAGCTCGGAGATGGGCTGGAGAGTGTGGAGGTGGATCCTGAAGTTGCCATGTCTTACGGATGGAGCGAAGGTGCTATAGTGAGTACTACTTTTGAGGCACAGAGATCAATGTCTGACTCAAAAAAAGCTCGAAATTTCAGTGATACATAATCCTACTGTGGCCCGGTCGGTCGCTGTAACACCGCTTACTTCGGATGACTGGGAAATTCTCGTATGTGCATTCCCCAAGACTGTAATCATAGCTCATGCTGTGTGATCATAGGAACAACATGCGTCTTTCCTCGAGGACAATCTCCTATCGCAACTCCGAGCTGCTGTCAAAGGGCAAGAGATAGACGTCTGGGTCATGGGCAGGACAAAGATCCGCATACGAGTCGGTGCGTCTGCTTCTCTATCCTCCGACGTGTTATTGATGCTAACGTTGATCAGATGACACGGATCCTGGTGCAAGCAATACCGCTGTCTTGATCAAAGCCGACACTGAAATACACGTCGCCCCTCGTCCTCGCACATCCCAACTCACATCTGCAGCTTCTTCCATCTTGCCGCAGCCGGCTTTACGGAAGTCTTCCCTTCCAAATGGCGCAGCAAAATCAGAAGGGAGTGGACGTCCGTTCTATCTGCGGTTGGTGCCTCCTAGCGTAGCGGGTAGCTGGGGACACTTTATACCGGCACCCCAGGTGCTCGCAGACTCTGGGGACGGAAGACTCGCAGTCTGTTCGCCCTTTACAATCTCACAAGTCTGCCAAACCCTCTCCCTTCCACCCGATCATCAAGCTCTTCATGTGGTCATTCGCTTGCACGAACTTGCCCCCGAAACGCCTCCCGGACCAATATCGGTAGAAGAAGAAGCGAAGCCAAAGAAAGAGGTGACGGTGGTGTTGACGAGTTGGGAAGAGATGCCAGATGGGTTTGTCGCTTTTGCTGGAAACGTCGCTGATTGGATGGAGGGGTGGGGAGAGGTATTGGTGTCTGGGGCTGAAGGGAAGATCAAGAAGACGAAAGCAGGCAAGGGTGGACATATACCAAGCATCTCTTTGTAAGTCGCCGTCTCTCCCATCCTTATTTTAGTCGTGCTCACTCGCATAGCCCGAAAGAGACGACACAGCGAAATACCGGATTTGACAAGATCACAGAAACATCTCTGGGCTATCTTCAACGCTCATCTATCTCCGGGCTGTCAAAGCCCTTGTTACTCTTGGGCGCGAAAGGCTCTGGAAAGACTCGTCTTGTAAAGACCCTCGCAGAATTGCTCGCGAAAGACATCAGCATTGTCGCTCGTACGCTCTATCTCCCTTTCTGTGCTGAACGCCTGCTGACGATCGGTGTAGGTCCGGTGTACGTAGATGTCGGCAGACTCGACCCGGAGGAAAGGATCGCAAGCATCAGAGAAAATATGGACAAGTGGTTGGAAGATGCTTCTGCTTCTGCACCAAGCTGTCTTGTGCTAGACGACTTGGATAGCCTGATCGCTCCTGAAACAGAGGTGAGGTTTCTTCTTTTTGTTGTGTTCGTATGCTCATGTGGGGTAGTTGCAAACGTCAAGCAATTCGCCGATCCTGGCAGACTATTTTACCCGCCTGTTCTCCCCTTCCTCCATCCCTCCCGGCGTGTTGGTGATCGTCACAGCGCTAGACGCATCTACACTACACCCGCTCTTGAATACGAGGCACATCTTTGGGGAGACGGTCAAGGTCCCGGCGTTGACGAAAGAGGTCAGGGAGGAGGTTTTGAGGGGGCTGGTGGAGGAATCTCAGAGGACTGCAGATGGGCTAGTGAATGGAGTAGAGGGTGGAGGAGAGGAAGGAGAGGAGATGGATTATGTGGTGCTGGGCGGCATGACTGAAGGGTATGCCATGTCGGACTTGAACGACCTTCTAGTTGGGGCAATCCAGCAAGCTGTCATCCGAACCACCAAAAGCGGCGAGACGAATGTACGTTGCCCATCAGGCATAAGGCTACGGGCACTGATGACATAGCAGGTGAACTTGACAATGACGGACTTTAGGCTGGCGAAGGAAGAGTTTACGCCAGTGGGGTTGAGGGGTGTAAAGATGCAAGGGTCGGAGGTGGAATGGAAAGATATTGGAGGTCAGTCATTCTCAGCTTCATCTTAAAGCCTCTAGTTGACAACCTTCCAGGTCTCGAAGAACCCCGGCGCATCCTCCGATCGACCCTCGAGCACCCCACCAAATACGCCCCTATCTTCGCTCAATCCCCTCTTCGTCTTCCCTCCGGCCTTCTATTGTACGGCTACCCAGGCTGCGGCAAGACCCTCTTAGCTTCAGCGGTAGCGAAAGAGTGCGGTCTGAATTTTGTGGCGGTGAAAGGGCCGGAGGTGTTAAACAAGTATATAGGAGCGAGCGAGAAGGGTGTCAGGGATCTCTTTGAGAGGGCCCAAGGAGCGAGGCCCTGTGTCTTGTTCTTTGACGAGTTTGATAGTGTTGCCCCGAAGAGGTGAGTCTTGCGACAATGATGAGATGGAATTGAAGGCTGACGGAGATGCAGAGGCCACGATAGTACAGGTGTGACCGATCGAGTAGTGAACCAGCTCCTAACAGAGATGGACGGCGCCCAAGGTCTTTCAGGCGTATACGTCCTCGCAGCCACCTCCCGTCCCGACCTGCTCGACCCGGCTCTCCTTCGTCCCGGCCGTCTCGACAAAGCTATACTCTGCGACATGCCGTCCCCAAGCGATAGGCTGGGCATCTTGGAGGCGGTGGTGAAGAAGGGCGGGGTGGAGCTTGGGGTGGAGGTGGATTTGGAGGAGATTGTGAGGAGGACGGATGGGTTCTCGGGGGCGGATCTGCAGGCGGTGATCTATAATGCACATTTGGAGGTCGTGCATGGGTCTTTTGAGCAGGATGTGGAGAAGGGGGAGAAGGACAAAACGTTGGTGAATGGGACAGGGCATACGGAGGAGGATAAGGGAGACTTCAAGCTGGTTATGCCGAAGGATGGAGGGAAGCTGGGATCGGCTGCTGCTAGGGCGGAACTCAAGGCTCGAGTAAGTGGTATTGGAATGTCTCTGAGGACTGTGCTGATATTTGATTATCAGATGGAGACTATCGTCAGCAATGCTCGAGGTCTGGGCCAAGCCAATGACGAGAACAAGCCCAAGGAATCGAAAAAGGTGGGCAGCGTTACTTGCATCGTGTGTATGTTGCTGACGCTCCGTAAGCCTGTGATTCGCCAACACCACCTTCTCAAATCCCTATCCGAAACCAGACCATCCGTATCATCCGCCGATAAGAGACGACTGGAATTGATGTGCGTCCCTGTTTCCCTCTCATTTGCGCGAACCTGACAGTGAGACATAGATACAATGGATTCATTAACGGGAGGGATGGAAAGATGAGCGACGGTGATGCAGGGCATGATACAGGGACGAGAGTGTCCTTGATGTGAGAGGGAGAACAGCTTGCTGCGGGTATGCTGGCGTTAGAAGTAGCTTGTGTGGTCTCCATCAATCTGGCTAAACTCTCATACCGTATGTACGGGCATAGCCCATCATGCAACATGCATAGAAGCACGCTAAGGTACGAGTACCTACAGACGAGTGGCTACATCGGCAAAATCGGGCTTTTCGATAGACCGAGATTTCGGGAATGCGGTTGGGCGCGGCTTTCAGAATTCCTTATCTCTGCTCGCGCTTGCCAAGTCCTTGTTATCCTGCCGGCGCCTATGGGAACTCATATTCGGTTCTGACCGGATAGTCGTACTCTCGTTGAATCCATCTTTATCCTCACTTTCTCTTCTCCCTCAGACTTCTCCACTTCACCTCCGCTCTACACTCGCCATGTCCCACACGTCGGATATCGAAGAGAAGAAGGGGGCGTACGCGGATCACCCAATCGTCCCAGTCATGGACGCAGAGCACGACCCGAAAGAGCTGGCCGTCGCAGAGGATGTCATCCTCGCAGAGTCAGAATATACTGAAAGCGACTACAAGAAGCTCAAAAGGAAGTTTGACTTGATCTTGCTGCCTTGTATGATGCTTGCCTATGGCTTGCAATATTCGTGAGTGTTCGGTCTTGCGATAAGGTTCCAATGCTGATACGGAAACAGAGACAAAATCTCGTTATCTTCTGGCGTGGTCTTTGGGCTCAAGACTGACACCCACCTGAACAGCCAGGAATATTCGAATCTCACAGTTTTCTTCTGTGAGTACTCATAATTTTGGCCACAGAGAGCGCGCTAGATATCACTCAGATGTGGCTTATCTCGCGGGCCAGCTTCCTATGGGATACATTATGCAGAAACTTCCTCTGGGCCGGTAAGCTATTTCATTACAGACCTCGCGCAGATACTAGACAGTCATCACAGCACTCTCGGCTCGGTTGTAATCCTTTGGGGCATCGTGGTCATCGGCTTAGGTGTTTGCCAGAACTACGGCCAGCTCTCGGCGCTTCGTGTACTTCTTGGATGGTTTGAATGCGCCATCACCCCGGGCTTCCTTCTCAGTGGGTACTATTTCGTCTGCGATCATACAGGAGACTGACCGTCACAGTCATTTCTTCCTGGTACAAGAGGTCCGAGTCCACTCTCCGAAGCTGCTTCTTCTTCGCTATGAACAATTTCATCGGTGAGCTATCCATCACATTCATTTACACGAGCTGAGCAGCCATAGGCGGAATATTCAACCTCATCATCTACGCCATTGCCAAAAAGACTGAAACCGACGGCCACATTGCCGGTTGGCGGGCTATCAACTTTTTTCTCGGCGCCACCACCGTCCTCTCGGGTATTCTCCTGTTTGTGTTTGTGGGCGTACCGAAAGATGTGTGGTGGTTGAAAAAGGAGGAAAAGAAGATGGCTCACGCGAGGATCGTGGCTAACGGAAGTGAGTCTTGGATTCTTTTTGTCACCGGTTGGCTGCTGACGCAGGTGGTAGACGGCGATGGCGCGCAAAAACCCTGGAGCTGGGCTCAAGTCCGCGAATGTTTCCGGGACCCTCAGTACTACTTCACCATCCTCTTCAACCTCACCGCCACCATTCCCAACGGCATGCTTGGTACATTCACCAACCTCGTCTATGTCGGATTCGGTTTCACGCCTCTGGAGAGTGTCTTGTATGGCCTGCCGAGTAATGCGGTCGGGTTCACGGTGGTCATTTGTTCGGCAGTCTTTGTGCATTACTATCCGAAGATGAGGTTCCCGGTGGCTATTCTGTGGATCTTGGTGCAGATGATTGTATTTTTATATGTCGGCTTAGCGGCAGATGCTACGAGTGAGTCTATCATCTCTTCTTCGCCTCTCGCGTGAGGGAACGGTGGCTGATGACGATATCGCAGAATGGCAGCTCTGGTCTTGTTTCTTGTTCTCCGGTGTCTTCGGTGAGTACATAGTCTGAAACTTTTGTATCGCTGCTGATCATACGTTCTTAGCCTGTACCACCTTCATGCTCTGGCCGATCATGTCTATAAACACCGCCGGTCGAACCAAAAAGACTTTTATCTCCGCTACCGGCCTCATCGTACGTCTCTCCCTCCTCTCACCTCCGTCGCTCGTACACATCACTATGTCACAGGCAACTAACGTCTTCCCCAGGCATACTGCGCGGGTAACATGGTCGGCTCCCAAACAATGCGCGCTTCCGACGCTCCTCGCTACCTGACCGGCCTCACCGCCAACGCTATCGTCCTCGGTGTGGAGGTCGTGGTTCTACTGTGTTGGTATGCATACTACAAGTGGGAGAATAGGAGGAGGGAGAGGGCGTTCGAAGCGTCGGGGCTTGGGTGGGAGGAGAGGGAGTATCAGAATAAGCTGGCTGGAGAGACGGACGTGACGGATCTTGGTGAGTTCGTTCCTTGAGGGCTCTGGTGGTGTGGGTAAACTGGACGGTGCTGACTATGGGTGGACAGAGAATCCTCATTTCCGATACAGCTGCTAGACAAGGGGCTCGTCTGTCTATGAGGGTTGATTTTTGTCACGTGGCTGTCGCCACTTGACCAAACACCCGAGCCAAACACCCGAACCTCCACCTCCCACGTCCGCGTCGAGCCCACATCTTGCCACCATCTGACTATAACATCCATCCATCTACCTCCGCGGCCGAGCTATACCAGCACCGCCTTCGAGATCAAACCTTCACGGGCAAGAATGAAAATACGCGGAGATAGAGAGAGCAAACCCATTCCACCACTTTCGAGAACATTCTTTCGCCACCAGGTTGGCCGATGTAGTTGATTCTAGAGGTTTCGACGGAGGATACGATGAGTAAGCAGACTTGAGGTGCCAGGGTATATAAGGACGTGTCTCCATAGCTGTAGATACTTCGTCGATCCACTATTGTTGTCTTCTCTAGTACACACTTTTCTCTCTCGCTCAACACACTCGTACAAACGCTATCTTCCTTCGGCATTGGTCTGGCCACTCACTTCGAGTTCTCAGACCATTTCGTCTCTACCCCTCGGCGACCTCTGAAGGCATAGCCTAAGGAAGGTAGCCCCCTGACAATACTTTACAGTTACGCGCGCGACTGTGCTCACCTCCCAGTTTGAAGTATATATATCGGAACAAAGAACGCTACATCGTCGCTGCTCACAAGCCGGATACCGTTGCTGGTATCGTTACAATCTGGGTGAGCCGGCACGGTCTTGACCTTTTTGCTTTTCACCTCGCTTGAGTTTATTGGGGCATTCCAGGGTCGTTCTGGAGGGTTGTCATTTGGTTCTATGGTTTCTGAAGGGCTTAATGGGTTGTAACTACTGAACTTTAGCGTTCGATTGGTTATTTTTTTTTGTCTGGCAATGCTGTTTTGTATGGCGGTGTCTACTACTCTATGGTTGATTTCGACGGTTGTTTGTGGTATGCAAAGGCTTTGCTCTCCGAGGAATGCTCCTATTGGAGGCTGAAACATACTACCATCCGCACTCGACCATCACACACTGAACAGCGGGGAATATGGATGCTAAACAGACGGAAATACAGCGCGGCGTTGAAAGAGAAGATGCGCGCAGCTTACGTGATCGGATATGCCCGATGTCTTTGGTTCCGCGATGTACGACCTCTTTCTGACACCATCGACAAATGTCGCAATAGCACATCCATCTACAACCAGCTCAATTCGCCTGCAGCCGGAGCTTGAGCCAAGCTTGGCGAGCGGTCTCTAGAGCGCGATGTACTTATAGCCAGCTGTAGCCGAGGAATGCAAAAGATCCCCATCCATCTTCGCCTCGAATCACCGCTCGTTTGGGATTACGATGGGCCATAAGACTGAAAACAAGGATGCTCAGGCTACTGCTCACGTCGTAGCCGATAGCCCAAATGCAGCTCCAGCGGTACTGCCAGTTTTGGAGGGGTATGTGCCTCCCCAGAGGACTTGGAAAACTTACCTGTGGTCAAGTGAGTCCCTCTGCCGCGACATGTGGGAATAAGCTAATGCTGAGCAGCTCTGGACGTGTCGAAAGAGGAGGCAGTGTTTCTGACAAAGCTGGATGTGACTTTGATCACTTCTGCGGCGCTGGGTGTGATGATTCGTTATCTTGATCAGTAAGGGGATCGATCAATGATGATGTCTCCAGAGACTGACATCCCCTTCAGAGTCAATATCACAAACGCCTTCAGTGAGCTACTACCGTTGGTATGTCTTACTCGAGCTGACCGATATATCAGACAGTGGCATGAAAGAAGACCTCAATCTGTACGGCAACGAGCTCAACTACGCCAACGCCTTCTGGTCCGCCGCCTACGTGATCGGGCAAATACCCAGCAACCTTATACTCACCAGAGTCAATGCTGCGAGATACATCGCCTTTCTCGAGCTTGCTTGGACGGCCTTCACCTTTGGGACTGCAGGAGTTGAGGATATCAAAACGCTCTACGCCTTGAGATTCTTGTGAGTCCTGCGCTCCTACTCGAGATCCCAGCTTACTCGTCTATAGTGTGGGGCTCTTCGAAGCAGGTCATTTCCCAGCGGTCATGTATGTCTGCTCGAGCTACTACAAACCCCACGAACTCGCCCGCCGAAATACTCTGATCCAGATATTCGTCTCTGTCGGACCGCTCTTTTCGGGATTCTTGATGGCTGCTGTCTACGCGGGGCTGGATGGGACGAGGGGCTGGCCGGGGTGGAGGTGGATGTACATGTGAGACTTTCAAATCTACGGACAGGGGTGATGGACGTAGCTGATGGAGTGTAGCATTTGTGGAGTCATCTCGCTTCCATGCGCTCTTTGGACGTTCTTCGCCATGCCCCAGCTTCCTGGTCGAGCCAAGCCCAACTGGTGCGCTTCCTTATCTTCCATTACTAGTTTGCGCTAATGAGCTCGAACAGGATCTTCTCCCAGCGCGAGATCGATATCGCCAGGACAAGAATGCCCACCGAAACGAAACTCTACACGGGACTCTTCAAATGGAAGGATATCAAGCGGTGGCACAAGTCTTGGCATGTCTATCTTTGTGAGGTGCTTCATTAGTGCGCATCATCCTAGAAAGCTGACACAACATGAAGTCCCATTTTTCTTCTTGTGTTCTGGGCAGATCGGACAGGCTGGAAGCTCGAGTGAGTGCCCTCGTTCGGATCTTGACCCTTGAGATGTTGACTATTGGTTGTAGTGATCTTCTGGGTGAAGAGTTACAACGTCACTGGGAAGCCCAAAGTATTCTCCGTAGCTGAAATCAACATTATTCCTCTCGGCGTACGTCCTTTTCCTAACTCAACTCCATCCACCCCGACCGATGACTGACGTCGATTTACTAGATCAACATCATAACCATCTGCGGCTCACTCACGGCTTCCTGGATATCCGACGCCCTCCCAGGTTCTGCCCGATGGCCCATCATGGTCTTTTCCACCCTTGTCGGCGTTATCATACCCGCAGCTCTGGGGGCTACCCCGGTACATCCGCCTAATCGAGGGACACGATGGGCTTTGTTCTGTACGTTTCTTCCTCCCTGAGTCTTGGGGGTGTGAGGGTTCAGGCTGATATGTGGCTTGATACTAGATCTGACATCGTTGTCGGGTGTATCGGCTGGTACGACGTGGACCTTTGTGAACGAGACAAGCCGAGATGACCCCGAGAAACGCGCATACGTCGGAGCCATGGTTCGTCCTCTCCCACCTCTTCTTTTCCACCCTACTTCTCAAGCTAACCAATATTTAGATGAACGCCTTCGCCTACATCTTTACAGCTTGGATCCCCATCTTCACCTTCCCAACCTCAAAACAACCATACGTCGCGCACGGGATGTTTGCGACCTCGGGCTTTGCCGCAGTGGCGTTGTTGACGGCGTTGGCTATTGGGTGGATGCATCATAGGGATTTGAGGAAGACTGCTAGACTGGGAGAGCAGGGGGCAGGGGAAAGGGAGGGAGAAGTGAGTAGTGTTGAGGCAGAGAAGAAGGATGATGGGGACGGGAGTGAGAAGGGCGAGGTGTTTAGGAAAACGCCAGTCTTGGAGAAGATCTAGTTTGGTAGATGATTGTGTTGACCGGCTACTTTGATACCTTGGGCCGAATGGGAATGACTTGTTGTCTATGATATGCTGTTTGTAGCATGTATAGGTGCATCTGCAAAGTCAACTAAGAGTATGTGACTATGCCGTTGTATGCTAGGTATCAGGGCCACAGACAAGGCCAAACTGAATAAAGGTCCTTGACAAAGAAGCTCCTGGTGGCGACAAACAGACAGAACCAAACAATGAGCGGCATGACGGCGACGGAACCAAATCGATGCACCACGCGGGTCAAGGGTGAATTGATGATAAGCTTTGGATAAGCTATTTCCTGCTCCCATCCTCTCTAACGCTCGTATTGGACCCGCAAAGATGCCCCCTAGGAAGAGGAACGCTGCTCAGAGAAAAGCGACAAGTGAAGACGAGCCGCAGCTTTCTCCAGGTGTGTCAAATCCATTTCCTCCCGAATCACGTTCCCTGCTGACAATCCGCGTAGCCGAGATCATAGACGAGCAGGGTGAGCTGCATGTCTGATCACGGAGGGTTGCGCTTACACTGCGCAGAGCAAGATAATGAGATCGCAGCCCTGCGAAAGAAGAACACCGAAGAGAACAGGCAATCTCAGAACGCCCTGGACGTGGGCGTCTTGACTTCTATCTTCATGTACGTGATCTCAGCGCTCATTGACCTTCCACTGACAACCTATATAGTACTGCGATCCAAATATACAACTTCAGAAACCACCCAAACCCCATCTTCCTCTTTCTCAACGTCTTCCACCTCGTCATGCTCCCATTCTCCCTCACCCCCGAATGGCTTCCGTCCTCATGGAAACCCTATCTCCTCTCCCCGTCAAACCACCTTCTACTCGTATCGGTACACCTCACGACTACCCTCTGTGCCTTGTTCTTACGGTACCAGCAAACGCCAGTATTCGGGCAGGAGGGAGGATTGGAGTTTGGAGAAGTCGCAAGGTGGGCGCTGCCGACGCTGGTGGTGGGTGCGGTGGAGATGCAGAGGCGGGCAGAAAGGGAGACAGATGCCAAAATTAGACTGCTTGAGGGGTTGAGATATGATGTGAAAGGGGCGTAGATCGATGCGAGGTATGCACCAGTGAGTATATTGGAATGTCTTCGCTGCTTTGCGTTCTTGTTCGCGCTCTTTATGAATGGATTCAATTGTCTTGATCCTCCCCAAATTCCTTCACTACTCTGTCAAGTTCCTCATGGCCGCGACCGATATATCCTTTGTGCTCTTCGTCTGGCATGTCAAACATGCTATCATTGTCGGAGCCGAGATAGTCGTGTTTCTTGGTTCCCTTCTCGTCTCTGCCTCGCTTGACATAGAGTCGGGATGCGAATGTCATCTTGGTTTCCACGGAAAACATGTAGAGCTTCTTGAGGACCAGCTGGCCTGTGCGGGCGTAGAGGCGACGGCATCTCGCGACTCGATCTTGTAGGACGGAGAGAGTTTTGGCGCGGGTGCTTTTAACCATGGCGAATGCGAGGCGTAGTTGCGATACTTGACTAAAACTGGAAAAATGTATAAATGTGACGGCTCCGACCAGAAGAGATTTGGGGCGAAGAGCGCGTATGTGACGTCTGGAGCAGTTAGATTCGGGCAGCCGATGTTTGAGCAGGGGAGTCATTTCTTGTGACCGCTTCGGAACTGAACATCTCCATGTTGAGCTTCATATTGAAGGCGTTTGGTACGCCCATAGTAGAGGGGAGCTCAGTCAAGGTAAGAAACAGGGACGAGTCGGCGCTAGGACGCTCAACAACCCGGCCTCTCTACCGTACTTTTCCTCCCAGCAAGCGCGCCCAAGTCGCTGAACGGTCATAATCAACCTTCAAAGAGACATACACAGCTTGTGCTTCTTCATTAAGGGATATTCACAAAGTTATCTGATCAGCCCTGAACCCGAGATATGTATATATAAACAAACACCACTTTCTACGCAAGCACACAGTAGAGTACTGCTTACCGCAGATACCTCCAAATCCCACACATGATTCCGTGTAAACATCTACTGATCATTTGCTGCTCTAAGCGGTGATACCGTGGGTAGATCGATACTTGTTGAGAGAAGCCTTGAGGGCGCCGTAGCGTTGTGTCAGGTCGTAAGGGTCCGGCACTAAAGAGGCGTCTGGTCAGCACCAACCCACTTCGTCGAATGTTGGGATGTGAGGACGAAAACGCACAATGTATACCGTTGTTGATGATCAACACCTTCATCTTGGGGTGATATTCGAGACCGTTGAGGAGCTTGGGAGTGATCAGGAAGTATCTAGAGACAAACGTCAGTATGAGACGGCAGTGGTTGGAGAGATATTGACATACTGCCCGCTTTCAGAACCACAAGTGACATCGACAAGCTGGTTGTGAACGGCTCGCTCGGCGCGCTGGTCCATACCCTTGAAAAGACCCGTCAGTACGCGGCCTTGATCATCTCGATAAAGGAAGCTCACCTGGTTAATCTCATCGACGAGCGAAAATGGCGTACGCGACATTTCCGACAGACTCATGAGATACGTCACCGTGGCGAGTGAACGTTCCTACACCCACGTTAATACTGAGAACGACAATATGGAGAAGATACTTACACCTCCAGATTGGTGACTACCACTCAACACCGCCAAGTCATCCGAGTCTCGGTAAGCAACCATAATCTTAATACCCCACTTTCCATAATCTGACCCTGCCGACCTATCCACCCCAACTTCACCTCTGCACTTGACTCGCTCAAAGGCCTCAGAGAACTTTTTGCTGACCGCTGTGACGAGGGTGTTGAGAGCAGGATTGAATTTGGCCTATGTCAAGATCAGTTTCTCGTTCAACTCTTTTCGTAAGGTGGTGCCTTACCAAAGTATCCGTGATATCCTCCTTCAACTCAGCAAGCTCCTCTTCTTCCTCATCCACAATCTTCTGCGCCGCCTCGAGCTCCTTTGTACGCCTTTCCCATTGCTTAATGACGGCAGTGGGGATGTTGACGGACATTTCGAGCTGGTTCTTGACGGTGTTGAGGTCGTTGAGGACTTGGTCGACGGAGGGGAGGGTGGTGGGGTCCTAGATGAACGTCAGCATCGGCCTCGGAAACTAGAATAATGATGACGGACCTTGGCACGTTTGGTCACTTCCTCTCTCACGGTCCTGTCCGTAGGCTTGAGCCTGGCCTTGATCTCATTCCACTTGTTGTTGGTCAACGCCTTGGCATGGTTCCACGCCTTGGAAGCTTGACACCAGACGTCAGCTTGTGTCATCTGAGGGGCTATGATGTACTCACCAGTTTCATATCGATCACGCAGCACCATGCCCCGAGCACTCCCAGACTTGACCTTGTCATCAATCATCTTCTTGTTGGTAGTCGCTTGAGCTTGGCGGAAAGTGGCGGCAATCAAGTCGGCGCAGTTGTCCATCACAGTATCGCAATAGTTCTACATTCAAATCAGCACAATCTCTCAAAGACGGCAGAAGGACGTACGGTGGACGCTGCGAGGGGACGAAGTCGGTCTCTGGCATTCTTGATCCTCATATTATTCAACTTGGTGCGTTCGGCTTCGTAGGAAGGAAGTCCCTCGAGCCTAACGAGCTTTTCTTTGAAGAGTTCTGCACGGAAGCATCAGAACTCGGCTCGACATGAATAAGAGGAAAAACTTGCGAATATCATGCGCTGCTTTGGTATATCGCTTCGAGCTAGACATGAGAGCCTTGATCTTTTCCTCAATCGCAAGCTACAATCCACGCGTAAGCACATAGAACAGTAAGCGCAAGACCGTACTCACACCCTCAGCATGGATCTCCTTCTTCTGACTGTTCACAGCAGAGATCTTGTCCCTCAACGCCCCATGAGGCTGTTCCGCCTCTTCCTTCTTCCTCCTCAGTTTCGCAATCTCATCCACCTTTTTCGCCACAGCCTCCGTATCAACTAACCCCCAACCCGTCAGCCCAAGAAGAAAGATATAGGAGAGGGAGAGGCTGGGTAACGTACTGACGATGTTGAAGCTTCGAGCTTCCGTCTTGGCAGTGATGATCTGACTGTACGCCTTTCTACCATACGTCGACTGGTTGGACCGGGTCCAATCTTTTGCAGTACCCCATTGTTTGAAACCCAATCTGGGCAGTTCATCGGTCTTCACTCTTTCAGAAGGTTTCTGAGTGACAGCCTGTAAAGGGAGGGTCAGTACTTGTAAACTCCAGTATTCAAAAAGAAGCTTACAGTGATGTGCATCTTGCAGACGCTGGCGAGGTATGCAATAACACCAGGATCGGCATCCACAAAGTCGATAGCGAACCCATCAAACCCAAACTCATTCAACTACCCAAAAGATGTCAATCTCACCCACCCTTTCCCCTTTCTATGTTTATTGAACTTACCCTTTCGACAGTACAAGGCCTACTCGGATTAACAGTATCCTGCGTAACCTCCTGCAACGCCAAGTAGAGCTGTACTTTGGGCGGACCGGTGTTCCGGTTCGGGTTCCATCGACCATTGTTCTTGATGTATTTCTGTGGGAGAGGCCTGCCGTTGAGGGAGATGAGATGGTCGTAGTCGGCCTTCTTTTCGCAGATGAACGTCTACCCACCATCTCGTCAGCATCATCCTCATAAGAAAAATTCCTTTTCTTGAGAGAAGAAGAAGAAGAAGACGATACGCACTTGACGTTGAGGCCAATTAGTACAAGCCTCAACCTGCCAAGCATACTGCCTATTCGGCACATTGACAGAGATCATCAGCGGCTTGTGCACCTTGCCCTCAAAGCTATCCGGGTTGTCTTTGAAATAGTCGAGGAGGAAAGAGATGGAAGGGCTGGCTTGTCGGGCAGCATCTTCTTTGCGTCTTTCGACGCTTTCGAATGTGCTCTTCCTGTAACCCGTCGTCAGTTCTCCGCGACCGCGAGGAGGTGGGCAGAAGGGGAAGGGGAGAGGACGTACTCTTGATGAAGTCGATTGATAGCCTGATCAATATCCTTCAACTCATTACTCTCTCGCTCATACTCCCTGGCAAGCTCTTGCTCATCCCTCTCTTTCTCCCTATACCTCTGAGACACTTCAAGCTACCATCCCCACCCCATCAGCACAGATCCATGTCCGTTATGCCCGTATGCCATAAGGGAGTAAGGGAGCACTCACCCTTTCCTCTTTAGCCTTCCTCAACTCGACCTCATGATCCTCCCTCGGCTCTGCGAGTATCGCCTCACACTTGCCGATATTCGTCTTGCAACTCTCTTTTTCGAGACGTTCGCGCTCGACCTTCTTTTTGAGCTTGTTGATCTGGTCGGCGATATCTTCTCTGCGCGTGCCCTGCGAGTCTTTTCGTATTAGCTATTGTTCAAAGAAGGCGAGGGGGAAGGGCGGAGGGGGAAGGGAGGGGGGAGTGGGGAGGGGAATTTACGAGTTGGTCGAGGGCTTGTTTCGTCTCTCGAAGATTTGCAAAAGTGTGTTTCTGGCGGTCTTGCATGATTTTGACTTTACCGTTCGCTTTGTGTACTGCATTGTCCCGCGTCCTACCCGTGACACCGTGGCGTCAGCAGAAAAAAGAGAATGAATGAAAAAAGAAAGAAAAGAAGAAGAAAAAGAAGAAGAAAGAGAGACCCACTCTTGCAAATCCCTCAAAGGCTGCCTCCCACGCTCATGCGCCTCCAACTTTTCCTTCACCTTTTTCTTCACCACTTCCGCCCTGACGGACTGTTCCCTCAACTTGACATGCTCCGCGATACCCAGGATATGCTCTAATACTTCTTTCTGCGAAAAACACGTCAGTGCCAAGGAGGAGAGGAGAGAGGGGAAGGGAAGGGAAAGAAGGAGGGAGGGGGGACGTACTTCAAACTCGCGTGTTTCGCGTTCGCGGACGTGTTCGACGTCGGGGGCGAGCGAGTCGACTTGGGTTTGGGATTTGTCCCGCGAAGCGACGTGCTTTTCTAGGTTCTACAAAGGGGCTATTAGCTTGTGGTCTTGAGGGCAGTAAGAGGCGGGAGTCGGGAGTCGGGAGGAGGAAGGAAGGAGGTGGGGAGGAGGGGGGGGACGTACTTCCTCAAGGGCGCTGGCTTTTTTACCTTTAGCGATGAGTGTTTCGTGCCATTTGGTCAGACGGGGATCGCCTGCGGCGCGCATGGTCTCTTTGAGGACTGTGACAGCGTCCATCTTTGCGAATTCTGCAACCTTGTCTTGAGGCAAGAACGAACTAACCCCCCAAATCAGTCTTTTCTTCTTCTTCAATAAAAGAGCCGGAGAAAGAAGCAAGAGCAGGACATACCACAAATTGTTAGCCTGCACACCATACCCCTGCACAACCTCCATCACCCTCGTCCTCGTCGCCGCCTCCCCATCAAGGAGCCATTCCGACTTTTCGTTCAGCCGGTTGAACTTGCGGCAGATGATGGTGTTGGGTTGGGAGGGGCGGCCTTTGAGCTCGATTTCGAGCTGGGCTTCGTCGTGGCCTTGTTTGACGTAGGAGCGGACTTCGTTGGCGCGGCCCATCACCTGTAGAAGGGTGTCAGTTGAAGCAGAAGAGGGAGGAGGGGACAGACTTTGGGTGGGAAACCGAGGCCGATGGCGATGGACGCGGCGATAGAGCTTTTCCCGGTACCGTTAGGACCGAGGATCATATTGAGGTGCGGTCCTGGGCGGAATTCGACGTGATCATAGGTCATGAAATTCGTCGCCTTGATCCGCACTACCGACCCCGCGACATACCTAACCGAAACGCGTCAGTCTCTCATCAGACGCGTCGAAAAAAACCGACTCACCCGTCTTCGCCTCGGTCGTATTTGACTTTGAAGCTACTATCCCCCTGCTCTGCATAAGCTTGGCCCTCGGCTTCCACATCCTGCTCCTCCATCCTCCTATAATACTCGTCTTCCTCATTCTCCCCCTCCTCTTGCTCCTCGTCGTCGTCGACGGCGCGCTGGGTCTGGCGGCGTTTACGGGTGGTGGCGGAGTCTTCGTCGTCAGAGGCGGGTGCACGGGTGCGCTTGTTGCGGCTGGACGAGGCGGAGGCGTTGATACCAGCCATGATGGGGGGGGGTGGGAAAGAGAGAGGTCATGTTGGCTACGCGTCGAGAGGAGCGCGTTCGCAACAAGGCAAGTGTTACGTAAGCAGTTATTTCTCTCTCTCTGCTGACTTTGGAGTATGCCTCTCTCTACTTCCTGTATCCGTCTCAGCCTGCCGCCCCATGTCGGCCCCCTCCTCCAACATGGCGTCCTCCTTCGCCCAAATGTCCCCCGCAAAACTCGCCCAGCTCCAGACCCAGCTCCCCGACATCCTCACAGACGCAGAGAAGCTCTTGCCGGAAGACAAGAGGAATGAAGTGTTCCGGGAGAAGATGCTGGCGCGCATCATGGCGCAGGGGCAGCACAAGATGCAGCAACAGCAGCAGCAGCAGCAAGGGGCGGGAATGGGGATGGGGATGCAGAGCCCGATGATGGGCATGCAGCAGGGGATGCAGAATGCAAAGATCCCAGTCAACCAAAGCCAGCTCGTGCGTCCCCCCCTCCCACTTCCATACCCACTAGCTTTCATACTGACAAGACTACAAGGCATACCAAGAACAGCTCCGCCACCAACTCCAACAGCAGCAGCAACAACAACAACAACACCTCGCCATGCAATCCCGCCTCCAACAACAAGCCGCCGCTGCCCAGCAAGGCCGCACTGGCACACCGAGGCCAGCGCAGCCGATGACGCCGATGCCGCAGGGCCCCATCAACACGGCTTCGCCCCAGTCGCACGGCGGGATCGGCTCGCCGCAGGTCATCCGCCAGTCGCCCAGCACGGCGCCGGGCAGGCCGGTGGGGATGCCGATGCAGGGGATCAAGACGCTGATTGAGAATTTCCCAAAGCTTCTGGAGCTGAAGAGGCAGGGGAAGCTGAAGCCGGAGCAAGAGCGGCTGGTGAGTTTACCTTTGTCCCACCCAAACCACCCGATGGGCATTTGCTGACTGACTGGGGGGTAGTTTGATCAATTCATGTCGAGCGCGGAGGGGCAGAACCACCTCCGAGAATTCCGAGCGCACCAAGCTCGTCTGCTAGTAGAACGCGGCCTGACCAACCCCGTCGCCCATCCCGCCGGACTCCAACCCCAACAAACCCCCGCTATGAACAACATGCAGCTCCCCCTCGCTGCCCAGCAACAGCTCGCGGCTTTGCAACAGCAACAGCAACAACCACAGCAGAACCAACAATCCTTCTCCCTCAACCCCCAGGCCCAGAACCAAAACCAACTTGCTCCCCAGTTCGCGCAAAACCTCGCAGGCGCGGGGGGGAATCAGACTCAGCTGACGCCGCAGCAGATGCAGGCGCTGCAGATGCAGAGGCTCGCGGCGGCGCAGATGCAGGCTCAGGCTGCGCAGAATGGGGGCCGGGCAGGGATGGGCGGCGGGGGCGGGGGGCAGGGATTGGCGCCGAATCAGGCAATGATCAACCAAGCTGCCCTTGCGCGCGCCGCGCAACAGGCTCAGGCGCAACAGTCTCAAAACGGGATGATGGGCATGTCGCCTCATATCGCTGCTCAATCTCAAGCCCAGGGACAGTCCCCGGGGGGCTTTGGGAGTCCGAGGCCGGGGGCGAGGCCGCCGATGTCGTTACAGCAGATGTTGATCAATATCCAACCTTCCATGTCGAGGGTAGCGCCGGATAAGGTGGAGAGTGTCAAGGCGATGTTGATGAGGTTGGCGAATATGAGTGATGAAGAGAGGGATGGGGCTTTTAAAGCTGTACGTTTCTCCCTTCCTCTTCTTCTTCTCTTCTTTTCTCTTGGGCTGATGATGGGAAACAGAGCCCGCAGTGGATCCCGCTTTGGAACAGAGCGACGGGGGGTGGGAACCCGAACCCACTCGCGCAACAAGCCGCTGCCCAAGCCCAAGTCCAAGCCGCCCAACAAGCACACGCCGCTGCCCAAGCCCAAGTCCAAGCCGCCCAAGCTGCCGCAGCCGTCCAAGCACAAATGAACGGCTCCTCCCCACACGTCGGCGTCGGCCTCCAGAATGGGACGCCCATCATGCGCCCCGGGTCCACCCCGGCGGCTGCGGGGGGGTTCAACGGCTTGAACAATGTTTCGAATTTACATATCCCTGCTGGCAAAGCGAGGGGGCTGCAGGGGCAGGGGCAGGGTGTGGGCGTGGGTTCGCCGAATATGCGGCTTCTACAGCCGGCTGGGGATGGACAGCAGCAGCTGCCACCGGGCTTACAGGCGGATCCGAGTATTGTGCAGAGGTTGTTGGAGCAGGGTATTCCGGTACAGCAAGCTGCTCAGGTGTTTGCGAGGCATCAGCAGCAGTTGGCTGCTGCCGCTGCCGCCGCCGCCGCTGCCGCTGGGGGGAACGCCGCTTACCCGGGGTTGGCGGCGCAGCATCCAGGGGGTGGGACGCCCCAGCCACAGAGGAATATCACGCCCGCCATGCTCCTCGCGCAATACTCTCACGACATGCCTTCCCGTCCCCCGCCCTCCCGCCCCGAACAGATCGTCCCCGACGCCCCCGCCCCCACCGACCAATCCCTCTCCATCCTCTCCCGCGCTTCCTGGGCGCCAAACTACGCCGACGACGTCCGTGTGGAGAGCATGTTTCGCCCGCAGACGGCGGGGGAGACGGGGAGCAGGACGGTGGGGCGGGGGACGTTGGGGTGGAGGAGGGTGGAGAGGGAGGGGGTTGATGATTGGCCGGAAGGGCTGCGGGAGGCGGTGGATGAGGAGGCGGAGGAGGAGGAGGGGGAGGAGGGGGAGGGGAAGGGGAGGGCGAGTGGGATGCCGGGGCAGAAGAGGAGGAAGGTGCAGGAGGTGGCGGAGGAGGTTGATAAGGCGTTGAGGATACCGAAGGATTCGGAGACTGTGAGTATTCTTTTTTACTGGATGCAGAGGGGAGAGGAGCTGATGAGTGGGTAGTTGTTGTTGGAGCTGTTTGATGAGCATTCTGATGTGGTCTCCGAGGCGAGCTGTATGCTCGCCAAACACCGAAAAGCGACCACGCTCGACAGAAAAGATATCCAACTTTCATGGGGCAAGTCATTCCCTTCCTCCTCCTTCTTCCTTCTTTCTTCAGATTCCCTAACATCATTTGTAGAACTGTTATACGGCCGAATCATACCAGGCTTCTCCTCCGACCGCATCAGACAGGACCAGACGAAATCCGCCGCGCGCCATCGACAGCCGAACCCGGCGTATACGGCCAAGCTGAAGGCGGTCAATGAGGGGAAGGCGGCGTGGAGGAGGGAGAGGAAGAGGGCGAAGGTTGAAGCGGCGGCGCTTACGGTGGGGGTGGGGGTTGTCGAGGAGGTTGCTTGAGCCGAGCATCAAGCTTGAGATGGAGGGGCAGAGGGAGAGGAGAAGGAAAAAGATGCCGAGAGGTACCGCCAAAGACCTTTCGGGAAAGGTGTATAATTTCAAGTGACGAATCATATGTTGTTGTGCCAAGTTTCATATTCAATTGTTTTCATATCACCGTATTGTTATGGATACTTCATCGATCAATCCGTCCTCTTGTATCCAGGGATTCCAGCGAATATTAAGTTATTCGTCAAGCCGTGCTCAGCGATGGGCTTTTGAGCTGCTCAAGCGTTAGGCTCACACATTGACAGCTTGACAGATCTGATAAGTGCACAGCTTATAGAGAAGAGTACGATGAGAAGCGCCCTTGATCTTCTTCGAGTAGTGCTGGTCTGCAGAGGCGCAGACCTGTAGTGGCCGCCGGCGGCCGCAGACGCGACACCCATAGAGCTCGGCCGTCCGGTGATCAGGCTTGTAGCGTTCTCGCTGTGCTTTGTAGCAGGGAGCAGGGGTGGATGAGTCGCCATGAGAAACTAGAACTAACAAGTCATATAGACCTCTTTATCTCAATCAAGGGGCGACGACGACGGACGCTCCTGGCGAGGCGAGGCGATATTTACTTGCGGGCGCAACAACAAAGCCGCCGGTAGACGAGTAATCATGTAATGTGCTCGTATGGTCCCGAGCACCACCACTGGGCATGTTGCTCTCATAGACCTTCGACCATTTCAGTGGTATTAGCCGCATTCCTGACCAAGCTGCAAACCCTCATTCACAACCCACTCGTCGACGTGGCGCATCATCGCCGCCCTCGCATCTGCCCACCTCCACCCTCCCGATGCTCGCCCGTCCTCGCAGTAGAATTGCGACGCCAAATGCTCTCCTTGGTGCACTGGGTAAACGTCCTTTCACCACCAAAATCCAGGAGTTGACAGGTACCATCAACACTGGTGCCTGGAAAGAACCAAATGACCGCCGCGCGCCGAGTCCAGTTCTCTCGCGATTTTTAGTTTTTCGGCGATGTTACTCTTTGCATCTCTTGCAATCCATGTCGTGTTGCCATGCGCGGTGTACGAGCGTACGCACACTGACGTTCCGCGTCGAATGGTACAAAGAACTACCAAGATTGATATGCAGATGCACGTCCATTGCCCACTGCCGTCTATTGGACGCTAAGGTTTTCGCACCGAGGCGATGCTCCCAATTCTGTTCCGCCGTCCGCCGGGCACCCCAGCTCGCCCAAATTCCCATCCCCCTCTTTCTATTTCTTCTCTACACAACCCCAACCCTCATTTACCGTGAGAACACCCCAGAACCCCCGTGCCAACATCACTCAACCCACACTTCACCCCACACCTCATCACAGACTCACACCCAACACCTTACACCAGGATGTCTGCGTACAGCGGGTTCACCGACCCGTTCTTTGCCGCCGAGTCTGCCATTGGCGACGGCGGGCTGTCTTTCCTCTTCTCCCCTCTCCCCTCCCCTCCTCCTCTCACCCAGGCCGGCGAGCCTGTCGAGGCCGTCGAGGCTGGTGTGAACGACCTGGCCGCCCAGGGTTCTCCCTTCTCCACCCCCTCTCCCGCCGGGTCTGTTGGGAGCGACTCTGCAATGATGGCTTTCTTCTCTCCTGCTCCCTCTCCTTCTCCTATTGCCGACGGGACCACTGCCACCACCATCGGTGACGAGAACGAAGTAAGCAGCCCCTTCTTCCGTGCCACCGAATTTTTATACTGATCCCGCTTTGACAGCTCGGCGATGACTACAATGATGACTTTGCCCTTTCGCCCCTCTTCTCTGCCCCTCCCAGCCCTTCCACCGTCCCCGACGAGACCACCGCCACCGCCATTGGCAAGGTAAGCACTCTTCCCCTTGCCCGCCACTGGCTCATACTGACTCATCTTTGCAGGTTGGAAATGACTACAGCGAGGAGTCTGCACTCTCGCCCCTCTTCTCTCCTCCTCCCAGCCCTTTGCCTGTCCAGGCCTCAGCCTCTACCCTTGCCCGTCCTCGTTCGCCTTCTCTGCCTCCTATCGCCCCCACCGTCATCCCCACGACCAAGCCTGCCAGCGAGAAGGTCTACCTCGGCCTCCGACTCCCTGGTATTCGTGACCCCACTGTCCCCGCTCAGGTCGGCAGCACACAGCTTGACAAGCCCAGCGAGAAGGTTCACCTTGGCCTCCGAATGCCTGGTATCCGTGCCCCTGCCCCCGTCGGTATCGCCAACGCTCCAACCTGAGAAGACCTGCGACAAGCCCAAGCCAAAGTCCAGGTATTCAGCTCATACCACCACTACCAACATCTTCAAGGCAACCGGCGTCCAGGATCCGGGCATGGAGAAGAAGAGGCATGTTGAGGCTTGCAAGCAGCGCCATAACAAGGTAAGCGCCATCTCTTCCCATCATTGACAGATACTGATTCAACTTGCAGAACGACGACCTCGACTTTAGCGCTCTCGCTTCCCTCTTCACATCTCCCGCCGAGGGTGCCATGAACGATGTGATCGACCTCACTCTCATCGATTCCCCTCCTTCCTCTCCGTCTCCATTTGCCGCCACCTACACCAACACCACCAGTGACGACAGCGACGTTGTTTGCCTTTCGGCTCCTGTCGATACATCCTCCGTCGTTGGTCAGCGCGAAAACTCTAGCGACAAGCCCAAGACCAAGGCTCGATCTTCCGCTCACGCTACCAAGTCCAACACCATCAAGGCTAGCGGTAGTCAGAGTCCGAACGGGGAGAAGAAGACGCACGCCAAGGGCTGTAAGCGCAAGAGCAACTCTTGCGATTACTGCAAGCGACGTCAGATCAAGGTAAGCATACCCCCTCCCCCTCTTCATCGGTCTCAATTCAAACTGATTCAATCGCAGTGCGACCGCGACGAGTTCAACGCTTGTACCGCCTGCCTCAAGAAGGGTATCGATTGTGTATACAACATCGTCCCAGGCAAGCGAGGCGCGTTGAAGGCTGTGCAACAGGGCGTCGCCATGGGCCGTACCGTCTCAGGTAGCCTCATCAGCGGTGGCTTGCCCTCTACCCCTCGCCTCTCCTCGTCGCCGAGCAGCAACGCCTCAGTTGCCATCCACACCCCTCCTCGCGCCGCCCCCGCCACGTCTACCGTCGTCGTCCCCGCCTACCTCTATGCCCAGTTGGCGTCGACCTCCTCCGCCAACTACGACATCGTTGCTGAGCCTTCTGCCCCGGTAGCTTCTTCTGGCGCTTCCGCCCCCACCCAGCTTTATGCTGCTCCCGTTGCTACTGGTCCAGAAGTGAATCTCGAAGGCGAGTTCAACTTTGACCAATTCTACAGGGACATCGGGCTGGTTGTCCCCGCCCCCGAAGTCGCCCCTTCTGCCCCGGCAGCTTCTTCCGGCGTCTCCCACCTTTTCCAACTTCCTGCTGCTCCCGTTGCTTCTGGTCCAGAAGTGAATCTCGAAGGCGAGTTCGACTTTGACCAATTTTACAGGGACATCGGGCCCGCCCCCGAAGTCGCCCCGGAGATGATGTGGTTCAACGACGTCGGCTGCTAAGTCGATCGTTGGCAAATCTCATCGGGGGACGATGTGGGCAGGACATTGTGTATTTATAGTTGAAAAAAGGACATTGGTATAGAAAGGACAATCGCTCTGTAGATATAGTATGATTGAAAAGTAATTTACATAGCAGCAGTTTAATTCTCGAGCTTGATAGTTTTCGTTTCTGTTGTTCGTTGTCGATATTCAAGATTTCCAGATATGAATTCTCGTGGTTTTTTCGATGTTTTGAGTTTCCTTCTTATTCGAGCTCTTGCCACCCATTAAGTACAGCAGTGAGAGACGAATCGAGTCGCCAGTACCATCCGTCCATCTGCCTCAATCAACTCGGCTGATGAATATTATGTTGAGAAACCTCGCTCCTCTGGCGGAGCAATTCGATGCTTCCTGTGCCTGATGGTGCAATGTCGTCACTATGTTCCCAAACTTCAAGACCAGGGGCTGGTCAAAAGCGGTCGTCTACCGATAAACTTTTCACAGATACGTACTTGACCGTCCATTCTCCCGCCTTATCACATGCACCAGCAACTTTCCGGGGTCTTGATTCCTACCTCATTTACGTATCGTACTCATTATTGATCCCACATCTTGACAGAACGGTCCCAAAGACAAGGTTGAATGACTCATGGCAGCCGCGGTCACCAAAAGTGGAGGTTTCGGCGCGGACCGAGCGGGAGACCTTTGTCCTCTTTCGCATCAATCCCAAAATCCCTCCCTCCACCTCCCCCCTCGCCCCCATCCCGCTCTCCACCCACCATCCCTCCCTCCCACCCCGCTCCAAGACTCGTGATGGGCGCTGCCGAAAACCAAGCGTAGCTCAAGACCGCCCACAACCCGAGTTCAGTCCAATTTTCAGAACACACCCCCTTGACACACCTCCACCACGCACCACCATTGCTTTGAAGCATGGCATCCACTCCATCCGCCCTTCCTGGGCCGTCTAGGATACCTCTACAACCCACGCCTGCGAATACATCCCATCCCCAAGCAGGCCTGCCCACTGCCCAACAGCCGAACGGGCACCAAAATGCACGGCCCCTCACTGGCCGGCACGACATCCATCAAATCAAACAAGAACTGCATGATGCCCTAGGAGAAGAAGGGCTGCCGTATTGGAAGAGCTTGAATGCGTACTTGCTTGGGCAGCTGGGGAGGGGCGAGTTGGAGGGGATGGTCAGGGGGTGGTTGAAAGGTGATGGACGTAAGTGTGTGCTTGGAGGTGAAAGGGAGGATGCTGAATAAAGGGTTTCAGTGCATCTGCATAATAAGCTGCTATCGTCGCTGTTGTCGAATGCTTCCATATCGTTGGGCGATTCGGGTACGGTGTCTGCTTCCCGTAAACGCAAAGGTCTTTCCGTCGACCATGCCGACTATGACACGGACGACACGATAGTGGAGCCGAAAAGGAGAGTGGAAGGATGGGTCATGGGTCTGGGGAAGAAGGAGAGGGTGAGGGTGAAGAAGGCGTTGGCTTCTGGAGATGCAGAGAAGGGACCGGATGGGAAGGATGCGTGGGAGAGCATGGAGCAGAAGAGATGGAGTCCATATTCGCAAAGTGAGTCATCGTCTACATCTGACTTGATCCGAGAACTGACAGACTTCAGATTCGTTGATAGCCCCGCTGGCTGTTCCGAAACGCCAACTCCCCTCTTCGCATCAACTCTCCCTCCGTCTCTCGCAATACGCCAAATTGCACGACGTGACCGTCCCCCCGAGTTCCACCGACGACATCGGCGAGTTTCTCGCAGTCGGTATGGACGCCCACATGGCCGATATCCTCCACTCCACTGTCCACCTCACGGCCCGCGATCGACCTGGAGATACAGGTATCCGCGTACCAAAAGGCATCGGGTCACGAAAAGAGGGCGAGCCGCAGGACGCTGGGGAAGTACCAGCGCCAGATCTGGATACCTTCCGAACACTATTCGACATCCATCCCCACCTCCACTCCAACCTCTCCCCAGCACTGCACCGTCTTCAGACTTCACACACCCTCGCAGAACTCGAAGGCGCCAATCCTCTCCTCCAACCGACCACCCGCGTCCCGCAATGGGTGCCCGTACCGAACGCTGCGCCGGTGGCCAAGCTTGTGCCTGTTGCTGAAGGGAGCAAGGCGGTGGGTCGTCCGCCGGCGAGGTCGGTGGCTGTGCAGAACGAGCTATTGGAGAAGGGGTTGTTGAAGTTGGATAAGGGGCGGGAAGGTGATGGGGCGGAGGGCGGGAAGAAGGAGAAGAGGCATACGTTGCATTGGAGGTATGAGGATCCGGCGTTGATCCTGGGGGATATTCTGGGATGAACGAGGAGTGAGGAAGAAGAGCAAAAGCATGGGCAGCATTGTACTATTCAAGCATTTTCTACGTACATTCGTACTTGCATGGCATTTGATTACATTCGGATCATGTCTACAGCGCGTTGAGTCGCTTCTCGCTTCCCTTTTGCAACGTTGATGCCCTACCGACCATCTCTTGAGCCTTGGTCTGGATATTTCAGCCCGAGTCCCTCAGTCCACCTCATCTACTAAAGGCGTCAGTCAGAGAGAGGCGACCCCTTGACTTATCTATCAGCATCAACACTTTTACCAGCCGACCGGCGGCCGGCCACTCGACGGAGGATTTTTTGCCTCCGTCCGATTCGTCTATTTATTTGGTTTCTTACCGCTACAGCTCACTATCCATCTATCACCATGCCCGGTACTATGGCAAGTCCCCTTCCAATACATCACGAAGGACGTCGTCTAAAAGCTTGATAACAGCCCCCACCCCCACCGCATCTGTTGCCTCCGGATTTACCGACAGGCATAGCAACCTTCTCCCCTTCCCCCTCCCCTACCCCTTCTCCAATCCCAAGCGCGGCGGACCAACGGATGATCGCTATAGCGCGGCAAGTATACCGCGAGATGTATGCCCCCGCCTCTTCCTCTTCCGCTTCGCAATCACCTTCATACCCACAACCTTCGGCAGGGGAGAGGGAGAGGGAGAGTCATGAAGATATGAGGATGCGGGAGGTAGCGAGGATGGTATTCGATGCTGAACGAGAACGTGCGAGGGTGGAGGGGGAGTATTATCGAGGTGCTGGGAGAGAGGAGGGTCAGGGGGCAGGGGTGGGATCTGGGGATTTGGGGTTCGAGCCGATAGGGGTGGGGGCGGGGCCATCTGGGGTTGGAGGTGCGTTTGGCGAGGTGATGAGGGATGAAGAGCAGATTGACCTTCTATTGACTGTACGTCCCCTCCCCACCCCTTCCCCTTCCGCTCCTTCTCGTATGATCTTTTACTGATCATGTTCTGAAACAGACAGCTGCAAGATGGGCAATGCACGAACTAGTAGGTAAAGAATACAAATGTACCCGCGACCCCCGATGGTCCGTCAAGAGTCCTATGAAAGAATGGCCCGCTGCCCATCCCGATGGGTATCTGTATACGTGTTTGCCGGGAGGTGGGCGGAAGAAGGTGTGGAGGCCTGATTTTAGCAGTAAAGCCGCGGCTACGTGAGTTTGAGCTCTCATTGGATGGAATGGAATGGGATGGGATGGAATGGAATGGAATGGAATGGGATGGGATGGGATGGGATGGGATGGGATGGAATGGAATGGAATGGAATGGGATGGGATGGGATGGGATGGGATGGGATGGGATGGGATGGGGTGGGATGGGGAGAAGAAGGGTATGGTGCTGATGGGGGAGTAGGTCACAAAAGTTCCTGCAAGCATCTCTCTCCCTCGCTTGGTCGACTCTTCTCAGGCTGGACGGCCCGTCCTCTATTACCACGCCTGATGGTACTGGCATACTCACCGAGGCGGACAAGGACGACCTCTCCAAGAAGATCGGGCAATACTTTAAGAATATTCAACGGGTGATACATCAGAACAGCACGGAAGAGTTGCAGGTGAAGACGAGAGAGATGAATGAGGGGAAAAAGTTGAAGAGCCGGGCGGGCAAGGTGCGTTCCCTTTTCGTCTCATCAAAAGGTAGTATGCTGACCAGATGAACAACAGAGGTTTGCGCAAGTATCAAGAGGCGTCGATTTCGATAGCTCCATCCTCGGCAGATGTCAAGAGTCCGACCTCCTGCGGCACATATTTCTCGACGTCTTTAAGCAAAACAACGCTTTCTTGCCGTTCTTATACGATATCCCGAAGGAAGAGAGGGATATATGTGCGGTTTGGAGGGATATCTGGTTTGGGCTCTCGGGGCAGGAACTGCAGGAGGGGGAGGAAGTTTGGATTGTGGAAGATCCGGAATGGTGGTCGAATTGGGTCAGTCCCCACCCCTCCCCAAGTCAAGCTTGGACTGTTGACTGACCAGATCATAGCTGACGACGGCGTACTGGACGTATTACTATGAAGCCAACCCTAGCGGTACGCGATTCTTCCGTCTCCCCGAGAGCATGCGCAAGCGCCGTATTCACTCCACCGACGACCTTCCCCCACTTTCATGCGGTATCACCCGCCGTATGGTAGATTCGATAGCCATGGCATCACCTGCGAATAGAGTATGGGCGGCGGAGGTGCCTCCAGACCCGCCAGTCCCAGAAGAGAGAAGGACGTTGCAGAGCTTGGAGAAGGCTGTTGGGTCGAAGACTGGGATGGGATGGAGCGTGTCGCTGCATGTAGCGTCTCTGGGCGAGCTTGAGGAGGGGGAGGGGGAAAGGCTGATTGCATTGAGGAGGGACGATCCGGAGGCGTATAGGAAGGAGATCGGGGAAAGAGTCAAGCTGATGGACGAAGTATACCGTAGATCATAATGACTTGAATATTTGTATGAGATATGCTGGAATTGATGACAGTAGATGCATCAGTGACGACGATATAAGACCAGCAATGACTGCATCCGTCCTGAGTGATGAATCAGCGCAGGCCAAGCGCAGAGAAAAAGGTGGGACCAAACATCCCACCCGCGCAAATGTCGGACATAAGACAAAACCCCGCGCCGCAATTAAAAATGCCGAGTCGATTTGATCCCGCTCCACGCCAGCTCCCACCCGCGCTCGCTGGGATTGAGGAAAAGCACGAAATCAGTGAATCACCCTCTCTCCACCCCTCAAATCTCTCAAAATGGTACGTCCCCATAAACAGCTGTGTGAGCAGGGATGCTGACAGCCACTGCAGGAAGTCGCCGCCAACAAGCAGCCCGTCAAGCTCGCCCGTGTCCTCAAGGTGCGTTTGAGTCGTGGAATGGATGGTCTGAGCGTGCAACGGATGGGCGGATTTGGCAATGGTTATAGAAGGGTTTGGGGGCAGCTGGAGAATGGGGATGCAGGCTGAAAAAGAGCGGAAGGGCGGATAGGGAGGGTAGACGTGAGGAGGATGATGGGGTGGGGATGTCTGGCGGGACGAAGTGTATGGCTTGTGGCGTGCTGTACACCTAGTGCTTGCTTCCCCGGGATACCACTGTCAGCGAAGGTCATGTGCAGAGTGCAGGTGCCGGAAAGAAAAGTTGAATGGGGGGTTGCCAAATTTGCCATCCAGACGACGCGCGGACTGTCATCACCGTAGAAGAACACTGCTGACTATCTTTTCCCTTCATCCTCTTCCCCTCAACACACTCTCCCCCTTCCTCCACCTACCTCTTTCCCCTTCTCCCCTCGCCCTTCCTCCCATTCAACGAAAAACAACAGGTCCTTGGCCGAACCGGCTCCCGAGGTGGTGTTACCCAAGTCCGAGTCGAGTTCATGGACGAGTCCAACCGATCCATCATCCGAAACGTCAAGGGTCCTGTCAGGGTTAACGACATCCTCGCTTTGTTGGAGTCTGAGCGTGAGGCTCGGTACGTCTTTTTTCCCTCTTCCCTTCTGGGGTTTATTTCTTAGAGCGGGTGCTGACTGGATTGTTTAGTCGTCTCCGTTAAGCGGTGGTTGTTGGGAACGAGCGGCGGTAGTTTGGTTCTGTGATGACATACCTTCGGCATACAACCTTGCAGTCTCGTGTTGCAGTCGCAGTGTTGCAGAATCCAGGATTGGGTTGCAGGTGGTGGAAAGGACAGTGCGGAATCAGGTGGCAAGCGGCGAGATTTCAAAGAGACGAGATGGTCCGGTCGACGTGTGGTGGGCGTGTTCTGCTACTGAGAGCTGGGTGTTGTGGAGGAGAGTGATGTCTGAGCGCACTTGGATGGTTTGCTGAGGGTCGGGTTTATCATCACTTACCCGCTTTCAATCCCGACTTGACTCTGGCTGATCTTCCTTACCCTGGACCTTGACTGCTTACTCTACTATTGATCACTCCCTACTGAAGGTAGACGATCTGATCACTCATGGCTCATGTACTCCAAACTCGTGATCCCTTGACTTCCCTCTCCTGTCAAACCTATCGACCGCCCTACGCAATCGACTCGATCGATCATCACCATGACCAGATTCGACGCGACCAGCATCACCGAACGGACGTCTGATACTCCACTTTTCGTATTACCGAGGGCGAGCGTTGATCACCTAGCCGGTTTTCGAAAGGGCAAAGGCGGCTGGGGCCTTGTACCGAGGGTGGTATTGATAGCGATAGCCACTGCTTGCTGGTATGAATACTCTCCATACATCGCGTATGCTTCCAGCCAGTCTCAAGCTTCTTACAAAACTTAGAATTGGTCGGATGGTGTGGGAGGTACTGGTGATTGGATCTGCCTCCCACTACTGCACCGTGGGCAGAGCAAATTTGACGGTAAGAGGCAAGATGAGAGGGAGTCTGGTATTATTGAACGAGCCACGAGAATTCATATCTAGATTCTAGATATTGACAACGAAGAACAGAAACGAAAATTATCAAGCTCGCGAATTAGACTGCTACTATATAAATTACTTTTCAATCATACTATATCTACAGAGCGATTGTCCTTTCTATACTAATGTCCTCTTTATAGATACAGATACACAATGTCCTGCCCACATCGTCCCCCTATGAGGTTTCGCCAACGATCGACTTATAAGCCGACGTCGTTGAACCTCATCATCTCCGGCGTCCTGAAATACGTTACGATGGCAGCCATCTCCGCCGCCTCTCTCTTCTCCTTCTCCTCCTCCGTCTCCATCGCCGCGGGGACGGGCGCAGCCTCAGCGGGTCTTGGGATCTTGGAAGACCGGGTCGCTGAGGAAAGTAGCCTCGTTTATGCCGTTGTCCCTGCACCACTGCGCCAAGGTCCACCGCTGCTGGCTGACGGCAGCAGCCCCTTGCGCGTCAGCCGCAGGAAGTGGCGCGATGGGAGCCGCTTCAGAGAAGGGCTGGAAGGGAGGAGGAGGGATAGCGGAGAAGGAGGGGTTGGGCACGAAGCTGGAGGAGACGTTGGTAGGCATCTCCGCCACGGCCGACTTGACGGGGGCGACTTTGGGGGCGGGGGCAACCAGCCCGATGTCCCTGTAAAACTGGTCGAAGTCGAACTCGCCTTCGAGATTCATTTCTGGACCAGTAGCTACGGGAGCAGCAAGAAGTTGGGAGGGGCGGGAGGCACCGGAAGAAGATGCCGGGGAAGAAAGCGCAGCGACGATGTTGCAGTTGGCGGAGGAGGTCGACGCGAACTGGGGATAGATGTAGGCGGGGACGACGACGGTAGACGTGGTGGAGGCGGCGCGAGGAGGGGTGTGAATGGCAACTGAGGCGTTGCTGCTTGGAGACGAGGAGAGGCAAGGGGTAGAGGGCAAACCGCCGTTGATGAGGCTACCTGAGACGGTACGGCCCATGGCGACGCCCTCTTGCGAAGCCTTCAATGCGCCTCGCTTGCCTGGGACGATGTTGTATACACAGTCGATCCCCTTCTTGAGGCAGGCGGTGCAAGCATCGAAGTTGTCCCGATCGCACTGCAGATTCGAATCAGTATATGGCTCATAAGAGGGAAAGGGAGCTTGCTTACCTTGATCTGACGCCGCTTGCAGTAATCGCAAGAGTTGCTCTTGCGTTTACATCCCTTGGCGTGAGACTTCTTGTCCGAACCTGGGCTCTGACCACCGCTAGCCTTGAGGTAGTTGGACTTGGTGGAGTGAGCGGAAGATCGAGCCTTGGGCTTGGGCTTGTCGCTGGTCTTCCGCTCGACAGGCGAAGGGCTGGGAGGAGGAGAGAAGAGGGGCGAGAGGGCAGCTCACTCGCTGTAGTCGTCTCTGAACTGCAAAGTTGGGTCAGTATAAGCCAGTGGCGGACAAGGGGAAGAGTGCTTACGTTGTTCTCGTCACTGCCGATGGGGGTGGTGGTGGTCTCGTCGGAGACGGGAGAAGGGCTGGGAGGGGCAGAGAAGAGAGACGAGAGGGCAGAGTAATCATTGTTGCCATCGCCATACTGTCAAAGCGGGATCAGTATAAAAAATTGGTGGCACGGGAAAAGGGGCAGCTTACGTCGTTCTCGTCACCGATGGTGGTGGCAGAGGTCTCGTCGGCAATAGGTGAAGGAGAGGGAGGAGGAGAGAAGAGGGGCGAGAGGGCGGAGTCACTCTTGACAGACCCGGCGAAAGAGGGGGCGAAGAAGGGAGAGAACTGGGCGGCCAGGTCGTTCACACCAGCCTCGACGGCCTCGACAGGCTCGCCAGCCTCGGTGGGAGGAGGAGGGGAGAGGAGAGGATAGAAGAGGAGAGACAGCTCGACGTCGACCATGGCAGACTCGGCGGCAAAGAACGGGTCGGTGAACCCGCCGTACGCAGACATCCTGGTGTGAGGTGGGGGGTGTGAGTCTGTGATGACGTGTGGGGTGAGGTGTGGGTTGAGTGATGTTGGTACGAGGGTTCTGGGGTGTTCTCACGGTAAATGAGGGTTGGGGTTGTGTAGAGAAGAAAGAGAAAGAGGGGGATGAGAATTTGGGCGAGCTGGGGTGCCCGGCGGACGGCGGAACAGAATTGGGAGCATCGCCTCGGTGCGAAAACCTTAGCGTCCAATAGACGGCAGTGGGCAATGGACGTGCATCTGCATATCAATCTTGGTAGTTCTTTGTACCATTCGACGCGGAACGTCAGTGTGCGTATGCTCGTACACCGCGCATGGCAACACGACATGGATTGCAAGAGATGCAAAGAGAAACATCGCCGAAAAACTAAAAATCGCGAGAGAACTGGACTCGGCGCGCGGCGGTCATTTGGTTCTTTCCAGGCACCAGTGTTGATGGTACCTGTCAACTCCTGGATTTTGGTGGTGAAAGGACGTTCACCCAGTGCACCAAGGAGAGCATTTGGCGTCGCAATTCTACTGCGAGGACGGGTGAGCATCGGGAGGGTGGAGGTGGGCAGATGCCATGGGTCACTGGCATGGACGTAGTGTAGAGGGGAGGTTTAGAGGGCTGGGGTTGTCGGTACGTGGGATGAGGGATTGTTGGCTCGTTTTATGACTATCTTTTGCTGGATGTCGCCGGCCTGGACTGACGCCACTACCAATGAGGGTACAACGGGAAGAAGGCCGAGCAGTCGGCGGAACACATGAGCGAGGCGGGATGGTCGATGGGTCTTCTTGAACGTTGAGTTGAACGACGACAAGTCGGGGTATAAGGAGCGCGCATCGTCCGCCATCGTCTCCTTCCCTTTCCTCGGAACACTACAGTATCTCCAGTAGGCGCTGAAGGACATCACTTCGTCCTGTTAACCGCATACGTCGCCGGCTGGCTCTGCTGCTAGACCACCGGCAGATCGCGCGATCGGCCAGGCGAGCAGACAAACGAAGTTGAGGCAGTGAACGCCCCGGTCCTTCTCCTCCCGTGCTCAATCCAAAGCCTCAATGTCTACTATTTGCTGTGAGAGGGGCAAATGAAAAGGGCGAGTCGGTAGGAAATCTCCATCGAGCTACCCATCGTCTTCTAGATCATTCCTTCGCGACTCTTGTAGTATCTCGCTCGCCTGCGCAGAGCGATAGCTTTTGTGGCCGTAGAGGAAGCGGGTGGTCTATGGAGAGCAGACTGGAAGTTGAGGAGACTGGGTAGGTTAAGACGAGATTGAGGCTGCTGTGGGAGAGCTGAGGGAGAGGACGTGGAAGCTGAGGCGGGAAGGGTAATGTAATAGAGCGGTCCGAATGGTCGTGTTGAGCTACTGCCACGTATCAGTAGGAGCCATTGGGAAGGTGTTTGCTGGTACATACGTGAACAAAAGATTAGAACGGTATGTTTGTTGTAGCCCTTTCATAGCAACCCATTCGTTTCTGTTGCATGCTTACAAAGCACAGCGAGAACGCTACAAGCCTCTTGCAAGCCTCTTCACCGGACGCCCGAGCTCTATTTGATGCCGCCGTCGATGCACGCGACGCGACTATTACGTACTCGCGTATTTGTGCTCGACCTCTGATCATTTGGTGATGGATCATTCGTCCTCTTGTCTCTCTTTCCCTTCTTGGATATACCCCAGCAGACGTGTACAAACGGCGAGGAAAGAGGAGATAGAGCGCACCCGCCCCTCCCACCCCATCGCCGCACAGACCACCCTCGGCCACCTCCACGACACAACGACCATGGCCACCCTGTCCAACTACCAGCTGGGGGACCTCCTAGGGCGGGGTGCTTCCGGCAACGTCTACCGCGCCCTCAACTTTCTCACAGGCGAGACGGTCGCCATCAAATCCATCTCCCTCCTCTCCCTCACCCCGTCCCTCCTCCCCGACATCATGTCCGAAATTGACCTGCTCAAGAACCTGAACCACCCGAATATCGTCAAATACAAGGGCTTCGCGAGGGACAAGGAGAATCTGTTTATTGTGCTCGAGTACTGCGAGAACGGGTCACTACAGACTATCCTCAAGAAATTCGGCAAGTTTCCTGAATCGCTTGTCGCCGTCTACATCAGCCAAGTCCTCCAGGGGCTCATATATCTCCACGAACAGGGTGTCATCCACCGAGACATCAAGGGCGCCAACATCCTCACCAACAAAGACGGCTCCGTCAAGCTCGCCGACTTTGGCGTCTCCTCCCGCGCCACTGCTCCCCTAGCAGACTCGGGCGATGCGGAGGTGGTGGGGAGCCCGTATTGGATGGCGCCGGAGGTGATAGAGCAGAGCGGGGCGAGTACGGCGAGTGATATTTGGAGTGTGGGGTGTGTGGTGGTGGAGCTGATGGAGGGGAAGCCGCCGTACGGGGATTTGGCGCCGATGCAGGCGTTGTGGAGGATTGTGCAGGACGAGGGGATGAGGGTGCCGGAGGGTGCTAGTCCGGTGAGTCGTCTTGATCGTGAGAGGGCATGGTGCTGATAAAGGTCAGATTGTGAAGGACTTTCTCTATCACTGCTTTCAAAAAGATCCCAACCTCCGAGTCTCTGCCAAAAAGCTCCTCCGTCACCCGTGGATGCTCTCTGTCAAGATATCTGCCGAATCCTCCCCTTCCTCGCCACTATCTCTCAAGAACGAATCGGAGCTCAAGGAAAAGGCAAAGCCGAGTGAAGAAGAGACGGAGAAGAATAGCAAAGATGAGGGACTCAAGGTGCCGGAGCGAGACGAGAACAGCGGCAGTGGGACTGTCCGAGCCAAGAAGCCCATGACAGTATACGACCAGGCCGTCCAGCGTGTCCAAGAATGGAACGAAGCTCTAAACGGCAAGCCGCTTCTCCCTCTCCACTTTAATTACGGAGCTGATAGATCACAGCTGTCCCCAAAGCAGGCTCAACCCGCCTCCCCCTCCCCGTCCCCCGAAAACAATCCATCTCCTCCCGCCCCCAACGCCAACGAGGCGAATCCAACCCCCCTCTCGCCTTATTCACACTCCCTACCATACCGCAGACGTCGCCAGCGTCGGCACATCCGTCGAGCCATTCGTCGGGGTATGTACACGGTTTGGCTCATGGCATCACGTCCCCGGCGCATGGGCCGGGACAAGGGGGAGGGCCGGGGTTGTTGACGAAGAATTTTATGGTTAGTGATGTGTTGAATAGGGCGAAAGAGGAGGAGGGTGGGGAGAAGTGGGATGATGATTTTGCGGAGGATATTACGCTTTCAAAACTGCCCAGTGAGTGGAACCTTTACTTCTGGAAGACTTTGGCTGATAGGAGGGTGGTAGGTCGGAAGGACGAGCCGCAGGCAGCGGATGAAATCAACCAAAAGACAGTCCGGCCTCTACGGGAGAGTTTACCGTTGAAGGAGGCGCCGAAGGCACTTGAACCCTTGCTCGAGAAACCTCTGACTTCTGAACCTTCTAGCGGTAAACACGTCTCGAGCGATGATGATTATTCGGATATGGCGTTTGGTGATAACGAGAAAGCTCTCGAGACGAAATTTGCCCAGCTCAAAGTACGTCCATCGTCTTTGGAAAGACGCGTAAAGCTAAAGACTATTGTAGCTGAAAGCAAAGACGAGACGAGGGATCATGCACCCAGACGATATCCACAAAATCCCCCTCTCACCCATCTCCAAACAAACCCCCACCAAACCCCCCGTCCGATCCGTCTCAAACCCCACCCCTCCTTCCACCCTCCCCATCCCACCTTCCCCGCGTCCCGGGATTCCGGGCAGGTCGTCCCCTTCTTCGAGACAGAATTCGCTGAGGGGTAAAGCGAAGGTGGGAGAAGAGGTGGAGGAGCAGATGAAAAAGTATACGGAGAATGAAGAGGAAGAGTGGGAAGATGTCTTTGTTGGCAACAACTCCCACCTCTCTCACCATTCCAAAACGCTCCCCCGCTCTCTGCACCTCACAGCCCCAACATCCTCCACCCTCTCGCTCTCCACAACCACCCCTTCAACTCCAGGTTTCCCACAGTCGGGGGCGTATGAAGAAGAAGATTCGGAGCAAGACCCGTTTGCAGAGATTGATGATGATTTCGAGAATGTGGGGGAAGATGATATGGAGGCGAATGTGGTGAGAGATAAGAGGGCGACGTTGATGGCGGCGGTGGGGAGGTTGATTGATGGGCTGGACCCGCACAAGTCGGCGTTCGAGCTGAAGGGCGTTTGTGATGAATTGGTGAGTATATGACTGCTGGAGGGAAGAAGTGCTGATGAGGTGAAGCTTGATTTGATGGAGAATACGACACCGGAGATGGGATTGGAGAGTCATTTCGTGACGCATCATGGGATGATGGCGGTTCTGGAAGTTTTGGAGTCGAGATTGAGCAGGGAGGTCGCGGTCAGGCTTTTGAGGCTTGTCAATCTGGTGCGTTCTTTTCTGTAATGGTCGCTGAGAGACGCTGACGAGAGGTAGATCGTTGGGAGCGATGTAGAGATGCTCGAAAGTTTTTGTCTGATTGGTGGTATTCCCGTCATCATTGTACGTCTTTGACATCAAGCTGAGCGCGGCTGACAGTTGCACAGCCATACACCTCCAAAAAACACTCTCTTGAAATCCGGCTCGAAGCCTCCACATTCATTCAACACCTCACCGCCTCTCCCCTCACGCTTCAGATGTTCATCTCTTGCCGCGGCCTCCGCATCCTGGTCGAGCTCCTGGACGAAGACTACGTTGCCAACTCGAGTCTCGTGGGGAGCGCGTTGGAGGGTATCAAAGAGGTCTTTGAGCTGCAGAGTCCGACGCCGAGGAATGACTTTGTGAGGATGTTTGTGAGGGAGGGGGTCATTGATCCGTTGTCTACGGCGTTGCTGGCGATTTTGAAGGATTTGAAGGGGTCGTATGTAGAGGAGGAGAAGGAGAAGGATGCGGAGGAGATGGCGGTTTACGAGCTGGCGAATAGGGCGGTTGGGGTGTTGTTGCTGTTCTGTCAGGTGGCACAGGCGGATGGGAGGGTGCAGGAAGCGTTTGCCGTGAGGACTATCATGATTCGTGGGTCAACAAATCTGTCCCTGTGCGCTGCTGACTTTGGTGACAGGGTTGTTGAAGGCGTGCGGACTTTTACCTCGCAAGCTGTTGATTACCGCTATCAAAGCCATCAAGCATCTTTCAACGTCTCCCCAGTTGATCGAAGTCCTGCAAAACTCGAACGCTATGGACATTCTTGTCGAGCTTCTTGGCAAGAGCATCAAGGGATCGCATAGCAATGTACGTCACGCTGCCTCACCTTTGGTCGAAGCTCACACGGTTTACAGGAGATCTGCTCGCACCTTTTCCAAACCATCTACTCCATGACTCGCCTCTCCAAATCCCGGCAAGAAGAAGCCGCCTCGAGCGGTATCATCCCTCTCCTCAAACGCGTCATCCAGAACAAGAGCCCTCTCAAGCAATTCGCCCTGCCGATCTTGTGCGATCTGGCGAATGCTGGCAAGGGGAGTAGGCGGTTGCTGTGGCAGAATGACGGGCTGAGATGTATGTGCACGCGTTTAGGAATGGCGGTGCTGACTCTGAAGTAGTGTATCTGGATTTGTTGCAAGATCCGTATTGGCGTGTCAGTGCGCTGGACTCTATTCTCTCATGGTAGGTCGGCTCTCGTCCCCTGCTTTCCTAGCTAATGTTGGTACAGGATGCAAGACGAGACAGCCAGGGTGGAAGACGTCCTGCTCGAACAAGACTCTTGCGACTCTCTCGCCATGTGCTTTGTCCAAGCCTCCGGCGTCTCTTTCGAAGGCATCCTCGATCCGTACGTCCTCCACTCTACGAATGAGAACACAACTTACACCGCGACAGTTTCCTCAAAATCCTCCGTCTATCCACATCCCTCACATCCTCCCTCTCCCACCCACCATTCTTCTCCCGCCTCTCCGACTCTCTCGAGCGCTCTTCCAAAGCCGTCACCAAACTCAACCTCCTCCGTCTCACCAAAGCCATCTGCGAATCCCACCCCGACCGGCAAACCCTCGTCGAACGCTTCAGCCTCGCGGACATTGTGGAGAGGCTGAGTAGGCAGGATGGGGCGGTGTTGGTGAGAGAGTTGGCGAAGGAGGTGTTGCCGGGGTTGTTGTTTGGGAGTGATGTGCCTGATTTGGGGGGGGAGGTTGTGAGGGAGGAGTTGGATGCGCGGGACGGTAGTTTTAGGAGCTCGAGGGGGAAGAGCGATGGGAGGAGGGAGGGGGTCAAGACGTCGTCGCAACTGCGACGGACGTTGTCTGAGAATGTCGTTAGCGATGCTCTCCACCCCCACACTCGTCCCGAGCCGCATGTGCCGCCTGTACCGTCTGTGCCGAGTACGATCTCCAGAGCAACGGGGAGTGGGAGTACGAGGCATGGGGCGTCGTCGAGTATCTCGACGTTTTCGAGCTCTTCTTCCGGCTCATCGAGAGGGGCGCATAGGGTGTCCCTACGCCCCGTATCGCATACCAACAACGCCTCCCTCTCTTCCTCTCTCTCTTCCTCCACCTCCACCTCCACCCCCCTCTCAAGCCGAGGCCGGATCTCACCCCTCCCACCACTAACCTCTCCTCGACCATACCCCCAACCGTCTTCTTCCTTCCCACAGCCAATGCTCGTCCCACTAGCAGACAAAGACGCCGTGAAAGGGGCAGCGGAAAAGCCAAAACATAAGAGACGTATATCGAGGAGTCAGTTGAAAGATATGCAGTGGCAGACGGATGAGAATGGGAATGTGCGGAAGGATTTGGGCCGGGTGGGGAATAGGTTGTCGAGGTTTACGATTGAATGAAAAGACGACGACCGTTGGAATTGAGAGTAGATGTTTATAGAGTCTTTTGGTCCTTGTACGCTTGTCACGAAATAAAAACAACCTTGTCTATAATGCAACTTTATTACGAACAGCAACATTCTGCATGATAGACTTCTATGCACACTTCTCGTTCTCGTTGGTGTAGCCTAAGGAGCCAATCGCTTGGGGTCCCTGGGGAACAAGCTCGCCCTCCTAATGTTACCCAACTTCAAGAAGAGCATGACGACTCGCTCCAACCCAATACCACCACCCGCATGGGGCGGCGCCCCAAGCCTAAACGCATCAAGGTAGCTCCCCATCGTAGCCGGGTCGATCCCCACCTCCTTCATCCTCTCCGCCAACACGTCCGCATCGTGCACCCGCTGAGCACCCGAGAGGATCTCTTCGCCGCGCATGAAAAAGTCGTACGAGTTGGAGAGCGTGGGGTCGGTGGGGTCGGGCATGGTGTAGAAGGGGCGGATGGCGAGGGGGAATTTGTCGAGGATGAAGTAGTCAGTGTGGTATTTTTCGCGGATGATGCGGCCGAGGAGCTTTTCGTTCTCAGTCCTAACATCATTGTCAGCCTGTGTTCAAGAGAAGGGGAGGGGAAAGGGGACGTACGACATGTCGTCCATCTCGCCGATAGGACTACCGTCCGAGTTGGTCGCCCCCGCCTCCTTCAACAGCTTCATACCCTCCTTGAAAGGCAGCCTCAAAGTCTCCTCCAAGAACAAAAAGTCTTCGTGCGGGTGCTGCTTCTTGACGACCTCAATCTCGTGCTTGAACTCGGTCTGCAAGCCCTTGAAGATATGTTTGAGCATATTATCGAGCACGTCGACGGCCTCGTGGTAATGCTCTTCGATAGCCATCTCGAGATCCAGGCCCATAAACTCGGTCATGTGCCTATGCGTATTGGAGTCTTCAGCACGGAACACGGGCCCGATCTCAAACACCCTCTCGAGGTCGCCGGCGATAGCCATCTGCTTGGCAAGCTGGGGCGACTGGGCGAGGAAGGCGCCGCCGTTGAAGTACTGGACTTTGAAGACGGATGCGCCGGATTCGGTGGCGGCGCCTTGGAGCTTGGGGGTGTGGATCTCGATAAAGTTTTGGGAGGTGAGGTAGGAGCGGAAGAAGGTGCCGACGGCGGATTGGATGCGGAAGATGGCTTGGTTGGTGGGTGTCTTGATCGAGAGTTAGTGGGGTGAAGAGGGGAGGAGGGGGGAAGGGACGTACGCGGAGGTCGAGCGTGCGGTTGTCGAGACGGGTGGGCAGGGCGACGCGGGAGAATTGGACGTCTTCAGTCTCCATACGCGCAAAGTCCGACTCGGGTCGGGAAGCGTCGTCGATAGAGAAGGGCAGGTCGCCGACTTCGACAGAAGTAAAGATCTGTCCACGTCAGCCCAGATTCAAAGGAAAGGGGAAGAGAAGACGCACCTTGTGAATCTTGACTTCATAGTTGTTGACGGTACAGCTCTTCACATCGGCCTTGGCCACGATACCCTCAACGAGCACAAGGGACTCGGAGGGGATGAGGGTGGCATACTTGACCATCTGGCGGGAGACCTGGTTGGGGTCGTCGTCCTTGGAGACGGCGACGAGGCCCTGGAGGGTGTGGGTCTGCTGGCGGAGGGTGACGAAGGCGAGCTTGGCGGACTGGGAGCGGGAGTTGTGGAGACGGGCGCGGAAGAGGACGCGTTGGTTGACGAGGTCGTCGTTGAGCTCTTGGAACTTGAGGCGTTTCTGGCCTGGAAAGAGTCAGCGTGGGTCCCCTCATACTGTACATACACTCACCATCCCTGCTCTGGCTCTGGTGAAGCGGCAGTTTGCCATAGTTCTGCTTTGCATGGTCCTCTGCCTCCTTGGCCTCCCTCGCCTTCTTCTCCTCCTCCGCCCTGAGCCTCGCTGCCTCGGCCTTCTTGGCCTTCTCTGCCTCTTTTGCCCTCTTTTTCAGCTCGGATTTCGAGGGGCCGGCGGGGGCGTCGGTGCCCTCAGCAGCGGGAGCAGCGGCGGCGGCACCAGCGGGGGTGGCGGCTGTCTGGGTGGTGCCGGCGGGGGGGATCTGTGCGTCGTCGGTAGCGGGAGCGGACATGGTAATTACAGATTAAAAGAAAGAATCGAGTAGAAGATAGAGAAGACCCGAAGGCTGCCGAGTAATTCCACGTCACTGTGTAATTACACCTTATCTGATCATCTCGGGCCTTCCGTCGAGTCGATTAGAAAAGTCACCGCCCATTTCTATCTCTCTCCTCTTTCACATCTATACAAACACAATGGCCGCCACTGCCCCCCAAGCCGCCGGTACTTCCAACGAGACCACCCCCCGCCAGCCTCTCTGGCTCCGATGCGAGAAGAAGCCCTTCGAGCACCGCTCTGCCCTCACCCCCACCACCGCCAAGAAGCTCATTGACAACAACTTTGATATCTTTGTCGAGCGCGACCCTCAGAGGATCTTTGATGACCAAGAGTTTGAAGAGTAAGCTTTGCTTTTTTCTTGGGTGATTTGGAGAGTTGCTGACTGGTTTGTGTAGTGTGGGCTGCAAGCTTGTGGCGCACAACACTTGGCCCAGCGCCCCTGTCGATGTCCCTATCATCGGCTTGAAGGAGCTCCCCGAGTCTACGTAAGTCCCCCTTCCTCCCCTTGCACGCCCATTCCCCACCCCGCCTTATCTCCCTATCTCCCACGCCTTCTCCCGATCTTCCTTTCACCCTTTCATCCCCTTATCTCCCACACCGTGTACTGACAATCACCCCAGCGACCCCCTCCCTCACACCCATATCCAATTCGCCCACTGCTACAAGCAACAAGCCGGCTGGAACGACGTCCTCCGCCGATTCGCCCAGGGCAAGGGCACCCTCTACGACCTCGAATTCCTCGAGGACCCGGTGTCCCACAGGCGTGTGGCAGCGTTCGGCTTCCACGCGGGCTTTGCGGGTGCGGCAGCGGGGGCGCTGGCGTTTGCGGAGCAGCAGAAGGAGGGGGGGAAGGGGGTGTTGAAGGGGCTGGAGCCGTATAGGAATGAGGAGGCTATGGTGAGGCAGGTGGGGGAGGCGTTGGAGGGGACGAAGGAGGGGAAGAAGGGGGTGAGGGTGCTTGTTATTGGGGCGCTTGGGCGATGTGGGTCTGGTGCTGTTGACCTTTTCAGGAAGGCTGGTGTTGCCGAGTAAGTCTTCTTCTACTACTTGTTGGTCTGGGGCAAGAGCTGATATGATTGCAGGGAAAACATTATCAAGTGGGACATGGCCGAAACCGCCAAGGGCGGCCCCTTCCAGGAGATCCTCGATGTCGACATCTTTGTCAACTGCATTTACCTCTCGCAGCCCATTCCCAAGTTCATCACTTCTGAATTCATTGCTCAGGCTGGGGAGGAGAGGAGGTTGAGTGTTGTGGTGGACGTCTCTTGCGAGTAAGTCTTGTTCTTCCTTTTGGCTTTCACTCTTAGAGAAAGAGAGTAGGGCTGATAAGTATGGATCAGCACCACCAACCCGCACAACCCCATCCCCATCTACTCCATCAACACCACCTTCCCCCAGCCCACCGTCGAAGTCGACACCAAGGGCGTCGGCAAGCGCGTCACCGTCATCTCGATCGACCACCTGCCGACCCTCCTCCCCCGTGAAGCGAGCGAGCAGTTTTCGACGGATTTGTTGCCTTCGTTGTTGCAGTTGCCGGAGAGGAAGACGGCGGAGGTTTGGACGGGGGCGGAGAGGTTGTTTGAGAAGAAGTTGGAGGAGGCTAGGGTTCATGATGCTGAACAGGGTATCAAGGCTTAGAGCGCTTCTTATCTTTCATCGTTTCCCATCGTAATTGTCGAAAGCTGGTATAGAGGTTTTTGGAAAAATCATGCATAAAGTCTGGCTGTTTTACAACTCCGAATCCAATATTGTACAGTACGAGTACAGAGCTGCCTTGAATCCTCATGGAGCAGAGAGTAGCGCAAAGAGGTATCTAGGCGAGAGGTAAGAACGACTTGCGTCGGGCTTCTTGTTCGTCTGTGTATCGCCAGTGGAACCATTCTTCTTTTTGGTGGTCTTTTTGGTCTTGGAGCCCGGAGAGGAGGGCTTTGACGTTCTCTGGCAGTACGCGTATAGCGCTTTCCCTGTCTTGGTCCGCAGCGGTGTGCGTGGGCGGGTCTTCGGACATGGTGATATCCCCACCGGCGGCGCTAGCTGCGCCAGCGGCGGTATCGACGGCATCGCCAGCTGGGGGAGGGATAGAGTGGGAGACGTGGCGGTGTTTGTGCAAAGCTGCTAGGGAGGGGTAGAGGTGTGGTCGGTCTTTACGTTTTTGTGATCAGCTTGATGCTTTCTTCTGTTGGTCATCTTTGGGGAAGGGAGGGAAGTGAGAAGCAGGGGATGGTGTTCGGGAGGGAGAAAGAGGAATATAGGAGGGAAGAAGAAAGAAGAGAGAAGGAGAGCGTACCGTCAAGCAGACAGACGTATATACCCATCCGGCCGGGATCGCTTGTAGAGCCGACTTGGTTGGATAGTTGGGCTTGGGTGGTGCAGTCTATATGGGAGTCAGCTTGACTGCTTGGCTTCATCGAAAGGGGAGAGAGGAGGGAGGGGAAGAAGGAGAAGGAGGAGGAGGAGGAGGAGGAAGGCGAAGGGAGGGACGTACAGTCTGGGTATACTTGACGGCCGGGGGTTTTCGAGGGGAGGGACCAGGAGGAGGAGGACATTGCGGGAGGGGTGGGGTTGGAAGATATGTATGAGAGAAGGGGATGGGAGAAGTGGGAGGGATGAGGAAAGAGATGGAGAAGAGAGAGGGAAAGAGGAGAGTGGACTGTCGGCGTTCCGCGCTTCGGCTTTGCATCTCTTTCTTTGCGGGCGGGGGATGCTTGTCGTTTACTCGTTTGATAGGGTGGATGCATGAAGAAGAGTAAGACCACTCCACCTTCCACCTGGGGTATGCTCATCAAGGTAAGAAGATTCAATCCTGCAGCATGTACTGTGGATATACCCGGACCCATGATTAATAACACTGTTATTAAGATTCATCCTCCGTCAGAAATTCGAACAAGTCCCGCTGCTCAGCGTTCGGTCAAAGCACAACCCGGAACTCTACTTGAACTCTGCCCTCCATTCTCGAATACGGGGCGACCTTGCTGCCATCGGGATGGAGGTAGTGGCGCATCTTTGTGCTTTTTGGCATGAGAAGATGCGGCTCGTGAAAGCCTTGAACGTGGATAGATTGCGAGCGAGATTGCGGCCTTGGTGAATTTGAGAAAGGAGAAAGAGAACTTCAAATTGGTACGTTCAACACACCATATAGAGCATGCGGCTGATGTGAATGATCAGAGTTCTTCTACTCTCAAAGTCTCGCTTCAGCATCTGGTCTATTTATTGTGCAAGAATCCGGAAGGACGATACTCTTACACGTTAAGGTGTGTGATATGACGAGCGTCCATTCGACTAGGTATTGACTGACTGCTCAACGTACCAGCCGTTCCCAATCATCTCCTCCTGTCCCTCCCCTCCCCCACTTGCCCATCCCCACTCCTCCCTTGAAGCAGCCCCCCATGTTGCTCTCTACCGCCCAACGCGAGCGCTCTGTGCATTGCGGCGATATCGCTATTGTCGGACCTCGGTCAATCAGGTCACGGTATATTCGTACACATCGACGACATACTCGGCGAGCGTTCGACCGTAGGGGTAGTATCACCACACAGATCCAGACAAGCTCTTTTCCTCTCCAAAGCCCGGTCTATCCAGTGTACCATGAGAAGACGTCAAACGACGACAACTTCTGTATCATTGATCCCTGTGAGAGCGTTGCATTGGTAAGCATCCAATTTGCTTGACTGGTATAAAATACTTACACCAATCCAGATGATGCGAAATCCTTCCGTGGCTTCAGAGATGCGGTTCTACCCTGAAATCGAGCCTACTCCCTGCTGCGTTCCAGCTATGCCGTGACACCTCCCTCCTGGCCCCTACCTCCTGGCCCCTACCTCCTGGCCCCTCCCTCCTGGCCCCTCCCTCCTGGCCCCTCCCTCCTGGCCCCTCCCTCTTGGCCCCTTCCTCCCGGCCCCTTCCTCCCGGCTCCTCCCTCCTGGCCTCTCCCTCCTGGCCTCTCCCTCCTGGCCTCTCCCTCCTGGCCTCTCCCTCCTGGCCTCTCCCTCCGCGCGACTCGGTCCCGCTTGAGGTGAAAACGAACCTGATTCCTGTAAGTGATGGGATTCCAACCGCAGGATACGACACGACTGATACCATATCCAGGCCATCGATAATCAGATGAACCTGGCCCCTCCCTCCTGGCCCCTCCCTCCTGGCCCCTCCCTCCTGGCCCCTCCCTCCTGGCCCCTCCCTCCTGGCCCCTCCCTTCTGGCCCCTTCCTCGGCTTTGTGTGTTTCGATACAAAGACGTTCCAGTATTCGAGTGTTGTGGAACGGGAAGGCGCGTGGTGAGCGAAGGCATCACTACCGAAAAAATGCCCACAATCAAGCTTCTGATCTATCAGCGATCCAGCGCTAGTAAGGCTTTCTCTCATCGATCTTGGGGTGCAGAACTGACAGTAACATCAGATTCTTCCTCCGGCCCCAAACGACCCCTGCGAATGTTTGCGAACCACTGCCACGTACATCTATCGAATCACTTCTACACCGCTCTGCACGCGAATCAGGCAGCGACTCCGTTAACGGGGAACCAGATACCAGGCCCAGTCAAAAACGAAGTCGAAGTCAGGATGAGAAGGCTGGTACGTATGGGGCTGATGCTGGACTGGTACTGCATATGCCTTCAGCTAATGCTACTACTCAGCAAAACTTTGGCGCAAGGCTTACGGCTGGCCCAGTCAAGTGAGAGACTGGGAGAAGAAACTGGTAAGGATAGCTTGTGGTTCTTTTCACAGTTGCTGACTCCTTCATTGAGCATCGTGGAACGGCTACTACCGACAGTGATGCTTTCCTTTTTTGTGCCAGTACGACGTATCCCAACAAGAAGCCTGGAGTTGCGAAACGGGGGTACGACGCTGTGGATGGCAGTCAGCTCGCTTACAGGATTGTCCACTCGGACCTTGGTCCCCCCCTAACCACCGGCTAGGTTTGGAGGACTCGGACTCTTGTCGTTCAACAAAATCGCATCTCTGGCTTGGAAGTCAGCTCAGGAATCCGCCGACTCCTTCCTCGCCAAAATCGACCTCATCCACCCCCTTGACCCTCCCCCCACCCCCACCCCCCAGCGTGTTCGGTGTGCTAAGCTATGGTCAGACCAACTGTCTTCATTCATGGAGGCGGCGTCACAGCCAGAGCGAAAGCACCTCGCCGAGAACGCGTCCAAGATTGGGCGATGCTGGCTCCGGCAAATTCCCTACTTCGAGCCCCTCCGTCTATCGAACCACGAAGTCGCCGCCGGTCTTCATTACCGACTCCTCACCCCCGCCTACTCCCCCGTCTGTGCCGCCTGCGCGAACGAGTCTGACCTCGGTCACGACAAAGTCTGCCGCCTGCGCGAGACATGGTCTATCCGCCGCCACGACCCGATCAACCGAGTTCTCCACTCCTATCTCTCCCCCGTCGCCGGCGCTGTCATCGCACTCGAACCTTCGACACAAACAGGGCGAAGGAGGAATGATCTTAGGATGCGAGGAGGGGGGGTTTGGTGCGCTACGGAATGCCGACTACGATCTGAAGGTCTACGGGCTCGAGGACAAGCATATGTACGTGGTCGATGGAAGAGGGAAGCCGAGAGAGATGGAGTGGCTGGATTAGGTGCAGGGACGGATCGTTGCGTGGTTGAGCAAGAGGGACGCGGAGGTTGTCAGCAAGGCGCCGAGGATCTACGGGGGGGCGTTCCGCCCCCTTGTTCATTCGGCAGGCGGGTTGATGAGTGAGGAGACGGCGGTCGAGTGGAGGCATTGGAGGAAGTGCATGGAGAAGAAGGTTTGGCATGGGTTGCAGAGCAGGGTGGGGATAGAGCTTGTGAAGGCGAGGGCGAGGACGTTGTGGATGTGAAAAGCAGGGAGCTCGGAGTAGTTAAAGGCGAGAGGGTTTTCCTTTTGGGAGGTGAGATCTCTCAAGTCCTGCTGTGATTTGGCGAATTAGTGCTGACTGTTGTTGCAGCTATGGGAGAAGATATTGAACGAACGTCTAGAGTTAGAGGGTGCAAAGGGCTGGGCCAATCAGAATCCCAATGAGGGCTGGATCTTTGCTCGCAACACTTGTGTATGTTCAATGCTGGCCTACCTTGCTTTCAGTGCTGTACTGTAGCGAGCCTGCCGCCACACTCCATAAGCTGCCACACCTCGTAAGGCCGAAGCCCCTTCCTTGTGGTCTATCAGGGCCATATGCCCCAATAGACCCTTTCTTTGCCTTCGTCCCTAGTTTTCTCTTGGTCGTTGCTTACAGTCTCTGAATGCATATAGGACACAGGTTTGGGGGAATCTCCTTCTCCATCCTCTTTATCTTCCTCTTTCCAACCCAAACATACGTCGAGCTTGCCTCTTCTAGATTGTCTACGCATATCTTGTCCCAGGCTTTCCGAACTAATTGCAAGCCTACCACAACAGAGCGCACATGAAACATTGTATCGGTTGACTTTCGCCTATCGAGCCCCTCTGGGTCTTCTCGGGACAATCTAACCTACTACATGTACAGTCATGCACATTGTAGTTCAGGAGCTTCGCAACGCCTTGGACAGCTTAATCAGATGGACTACAATAGCTGTGACCCAAATTCTAGCTCTGCCACATTGCTCATCGCCTCGGGAATCAGACCCACATTCAAGACTCTTGACATGAAGAACGCATCACTGACTGCAGAGGAGCGTCTGGCATTGAGGGAGCATCTTGCGATGCTGTTCCTCTATTGTGCCAGCCTCTGCGCCAACAGCGATGCTTGGATAGAGGCCGATTCTCAAGAGCCTGGAAAGGTCCAGCGGCGCCTGCAGATGGTGAAGGATTTGTTTGAGCAAGTTCAGGCAAAGAATTCAGACACTTCTTAGCTTCCAATGTGATGAGCCTTACTCTCTGTCTGACTCATTGGAGAGCGAGAAAACTTGGTGTAAGAACCAGCGACGGGACAGAGGTGATTGTTGTAACGACAGTATCAAGGCCAAGAGCATTTGTTAGTGTCAAGCCGTTTTATCTTTCTCAAGGTTCAGCTGTAGAGAAAATACGTCTCCATCGACGGGATCAAGCAGGGTAAGTGGGAAGAACATGCGGAAGGCCATCGGCTATCGTGCGTCAATCTTCCCCATTCGCCGCGGCGAAAAGCGTTAAGATGTGTCCTACCTATGATGGTTTCTCTTCGTTCAGCTTATCTGATGGTTGAACAACTGTGTACAATGATACAAATCAAAGCGATCGGCATAGTCTCGCAAAGGGGCCAAAACATCCAGGGATTATTCATGACAAGAATCATTATACGACGTTGAGATGCAGCAATGGCGACAACCAAATCTTCTTTCCACTCTCAAACCCTCCCCCAACACCTTCTTCTTCAACCTTCCCCAGATCGATCTTTTCCACAGCCGCTCTAAGAGCATAACTACCCCCAGCTAAGAACGTCGCGCCGACGACAAACGTACCGTTTGCACCGTTTTCGAGCTTTGGCAGTGTCGAGGAAGATAAGCCGTCAAAGAGGACGTTTTTGTGGGGATGGGAGAGTTGACCAGGTGGAGGAGCTCGGTTTGCTGAAGCGGGAGATGTCCAAGAGTAGTCGAGAGGCGAAGACGGAAGGGGTTCGAGATGTACATACGGGTGGAAGGGTGATCCTGATGATACGTTAGCAGTGCCGTGCTGATCAAGAGAGAGCGGCTTACCAGTGCCGTTGACGACTTCCACTTCCAGCTCGACAAAGTCCATTGCCAAAAGCTTGTCTGTTGTATCTCTACCCCGGACACGTACTCGCACATCTACAGTATCGGAGCGGAGTATCTGAAGAAGGCTTGGTGACAACGAATGATGACGAAGGCTCAAAGATCCATGGCGCAATGACCCAGGCTGGGAAGAGTCAGTCTCCGTCCGATCGATTATGTACGATACTCACCTCTATCCATGTCGCCTCTAACATTCCCAATAACGCCTCTCGATACCAGAAGCGCTCCCTCTCCGTCGCGACTCGACCCGACGTCTTCTTCTCCTTCTCGACGATATACTGCCGATTTGACAGAGAGGGTATGGGTTGGGATAAGGCTTCCTGATTGAGGAGTTTTCGAGGCAGAGGAAGAATCAATCTACAGGATGTCAGCGGCCGAAGGGAAAACATTGCGGAATGACGTACCGCTCAATAGCACCTGGAGGTATCAGCCTCGTACATTTCGCCTCCGGCTTATCGCCCTTCCGCGCCAAAGTCACTTCGAAAGGCACTCCATACACATTACTAAAACTCAGACCGAGCAAGCAATGGTCCGAGTCATTCTCCGCAGATACGACCTCATACAAAGACGCATCTTTCGAGGCCTGTGAGGAGATTTGAGACCCGCCAAGGTAGGTGAGGTCGAGAGAATGACAATCGATAGCATGGTAGATGGTAAACATGACGGGGAATGAGATTCGTCGAGTGTAGAATGAGTTGGAGACTGGGGCTGAGTCGGCGTCGTTGTTGGGCGATACAGTCTTGTCGCGTGTGTTGACATATCCGTAGTCAATGTTGATGAGACCGTCAGAGCTATCAAGGCGTTAGGGCTGGCGTGAATAGGCAGAGATTACGCTTACCATCCGACCTTCCCTAGACACTTGACAGTCAAAGTCGCCCTCCCTCTCGCAGGGATAAACACCTCCCCAGGAGCCTGCGTATCACTCCAAACAAACACCGGTCTCTTCTGTTGATCCCAATCAAGTTCGTACGCTTGCTCGGGCGTCAATTCGCCTTCGGCAATGATCTCTTGAGCTTCGCGGGCGGTAGAGTCGTCCATTGAGAGTTTGACAAAGTCGATGGGGACGGAGGACGAGTTTTCGAGGACGATTTGTATCTCGGACCTAGCGCAATGTTAGAAACACGCTCACTCGAAACGACAAAGACTTACCGCTCCCCGTCATAAAGCATCATCATCCCATGTATCAAACTCGTGCTCTTTACCCAAGCCAACGGCAACTCCTCCACCACCGTACACTCCAGATACTTTTCCTGTCCCTCCCCCTCCTTCTCCTTCAAACTCGCCCGATTCCCAATCGACAATCTCGCGCCCATACCCGTCCGCTTGACTTTTTGCGACTCGCGTTTGAGGCGAGAGTGTCGTTTTTGGCGGCGTTCTTTGTCTTTGTCATCGATGACCGGGAGGAATACTTGGGTGGAAGAGCCGTCGGTGAGGCGCACGAAGACGCCTTGGATGCGGAGTAGGCCAGCGGAGGGGGCGATACCGGAGAGGCGGATAGTGTGGACGGAGAGGGCGGGGATGGAGATTGGGATGGAAGAGGTGTTGAAGGGGACCCCGGAGGTACTGCATCATTATGAGCTTGAGTAGCAGAAGAAGCCAGAATCACTCACATGATGGAGATTTCGTTGATATCCAAGTTGAATGCGAAGGGGTTTCGTAAAGTGACAAACACGTCCACCGCCTCGTTGGCGATCAGCGTGACCTACGATCAATCACCATCAGCATTGTCACTTCAGAGCTTGAGGAGCAACTCACCTTGCCGCCATTCGAAGCCCTCGTTCTGGGGTTGTAAAAGAACGGATCCTTCTTTCCACTTTCCACCTGGATTTCATCTCTCGAATGCTGCATTGGTGTCTTGTCATGCGACAATCTGCTCGTGATAAGTGTCCCACAGCCCATCACAAGAAGATAAACACTCACCCGGCAATTTCCAGACTCATCACAATCTTCCCCGGTACCCACCACGGCACCACCCCCGTCTCCAATCCCCTCCTCCTCACAACAGCCAGCGCCGCCGGATACATCTTTGCCAAGATCGCCTGACTCTGCGAATTCAAACTCTCCGAAAGATCATTCAACGCCGTCAAGCACAATTTGACTATCGCAGGGTGACTTGGTAAGGATTCCATGACGGCGATACCTTCTTTAATCATCTCGACTTGCAGTTCAGGCCAGCCGAACCGTCTTTTGATGTGTTCTTCGTCATCGGTATCTTGAATGCCCAAGATCGAGCGATGTGGGAGGGCAGAGGAAGGGAAGGAGGGGAGGAGGTTTATACCCATGATACCTGCGGCACGTTCGAACAAGGCGACGATACCGGCGTTCCCTTCTGTCGATTCTTTCCTCCTAACGGCGACAGCTTGTGATTTCACAGGCATGCCCAAGCCCAGCCCCAGGCTCGCTGATTCTTGCGCACCAGAAACCATCGACGTCCTCGGACTCGGCGCGAGGGTTCTCGAGTTCGTCTCTTGCCTATTCTCCACCACCACCCCCGCCAACAAGTTTACAACCTCCCTCGTCACCCCCGCCTCTTTCCTCTCCAACCCCAACCACCTCGCCAACCACACCGCTTCCTCATTCACAGCCAGTCTCTCCAGCATCGTCATCGCTTTATGATATGGCCCCAGAGCAGTTTCGGCGTGGGCGAATATGGATTGACGGGAGATTTGGGATTGAGAGGAGAGGAGGAGGAGGTCGCGGGCGTGTTTGCGGCGGGAGGTGGAGGTTATGGTTGGTTGTTGGGTTAGGGGGGGAGGGAAGGAGCGGGGGAGGGTGTGGGTGACGAGGTATGAGAGGGCGATGGATCCCCAGCCGCCGGAAGCCCAGATGAGGAGGACAAAGTGGCTGATCTTTAGGGCTAGCCCGGCGTACAAGAGAGATAAAAGGCCTTCTCCGGTACCGACGTCTGAAGGGTCTGTGGGGATTGATGAAGGGATGCTGAAGGAACCAGAAACAGCTTGGGGAGACGGCGAGGCGATTGTGGGTGGATAAGGGATAGGTGCTCGAGCGATGCACGCGAGGGCGGACATGAAATGGGACTGAATCTCGACTGGGATGGGTGACGTTGGGAAAGGTTGCGTCAGATTCTATGGATACGCATCAGTACAGTAGCACGTTGAGCTGGAGATAGACTCACAGAACCGTCCCTGCCCTCCCACGCTTCTCCTATACCAGCCACCGCCCTACCTTCCCTCGTAAACCCCTCCCACAAAACATCCCCTACAGCCCTACACCTTTCCGCCCCATCATCATAACACTGGATCGCATCGCCATACATCCCCGACAAGAGATAAAAGTCCCCCAACAGCTTCAGCAGACGCCCCCCGGCAATACCCGTAAGGTCTGCAGACGTGTATTTGAGTACACTCGCGCCATTTATAGGTGTGGGAGTAGACGAGGGGAGGGAGCCGGATGATGCTGCTGAGGAAGTGCGCGAGAAGGGTGAGGGCACGGCGGAAGATCGTCGGAAGGGGTTGGAAGATGCTGATACTGGCTGGGGAGCTGCAGGTGCGAGGTTCGTCTGGATAGGCGGTAGCGATGGCGCTTGGATGGAAGTGGGTCTTCCACCGGGGGTGACGGCGCGAGTGAGAGAGATGCCCAGGCCTCCGGGTGCACCGTCCATGGATGATTTTGGAGGGACGAGGGTGGGGGTGGATGTGCTTGATCGGGAGGGATAGTCGCCTGGGCCTGAAAAGCCATTGAGCCCGGTCAGAGGGTTGGAGGCGGTGAGGTTGGGGAGCAAGGTGGATGAGAGGGTCTTTAGCCCGGCTGGCGTTTCGAGAGCGGTGGCCTGGTAATCATCAGCGACGTCCCATGGTGTCGCTGGCTAGACTCACAATGACACCCAGCTCTCCCAACAGATCTCCAACAACTTCTCCCAAGAGCCTAGTCATCCAGTTCTCCACCCCCTCCAACGGCGCATACTTGACTTCCCCATGATCCTTGCCCGTCGTCCCTCCACTACTCGACTTGCTCGGACTCGCTTGCTTTCTCGGAGACGAGGGCGTTTTGGGTATTTGGTCGGGCACGACAAGAAGGCGTTTGACGATGGGGAATGGCGAGGTGGAGGGGAGGAGAGAGGCGAGGGTGTCTTCGAAGGCTTGTTCGGGAGTGACTGGAGGGAAAGATGGGATAGTGCGTTCTTGGAAAGTCGGGGCTGTAGGCGTAGAATGACCTATATCTCCGTCTCCCAAGCTATACCCCTCTTCCTCTTCCGCATCAACCGATACACCAAGCACTATGAGAGGGAACCCCGCCATCCTCAACAAGCTCAGAGGATAAGTATGTTTCGCTGGCGGGGAACGAGTATACCCCAGATGGACTTGATGCGAGATAGCAGCTCTAGAAACTGATATACTCCCCCCACTGAGCTGCGGGAAGAATCGCATCCTCGGATTACTATCCCCTCCGAACTGCCCTCCTACCGCCGGGGAGTTGACTCTAGAACGCGCCGAGACGAGGGGCCGGGCGAGCTCATCGCCGCGGAGAGTCTGGTGTTTCTGGATGATGGAGAGGTAGGCGTCGAACAGGGAGGTGGATATGGGGGCGTTGGGGCGGTGGACTGGGATGACGAGGATCTGGAGGCGGGCGAGAGAGAAGGGGTCGGTGAGGGTGGAGAGGGGGGCGGGGGAGGTCATCGTGGAGATGTAGAGCCGGGCAGGGAGGAGGGAAGAATACAGGTAGAACAGTCACTCTGTCCCAGATATGGACCCGAGGCGTAGTTGTGACAAGAAAGATAGAGATGAATAGATTGTGACTTTCGTTGTTGTGACTGTCATCGCGAACAACGCGACGTGTTTTTGATCCCGTCCATCATTCAACTGTCCCTATCCGACAGTTTCCTCGCTGCTCTCGAGAATATGCAATGCAGTACATCCTACAAGACCCTACGCGAATCCCGCTACCCCTCCCCCACTCTCCGCACTAAAAATCACTTTCGATATTCTCCCACTATCCTCCTGCTGCCCTCCCTCCAGCGGCCACCTCGCCTCCTCCGCAATCCTCTGCTCCTCCAACGTCTTTGTTCTCTCCCTCCTCGCCGAGTGCGCCCTGTACCTCTTCTGCACCACGACCCCGGTATGGTGCAAGATCTCTCCGCGAACTGCCGTGAGCTCTTGGAGCGTTTGGTCGATCTCCCCGAGGTAGGCGGTCGTCTCGGCAGAAGCCAGCGTCGACTCGCGCTCGCCCTCGCTTTCACTCCTGTTCTCCTTCTCCGCCGCCCTCTCGACGACAGTACGCATAATCTCAAGCTCCTCCTTCAGCCTACTCTCAGCCTCGTCAATCATCCCATTCAATGCCCGCCAAAAGCCGATCCTATCATTCTTCCCATCCACCGTATCTCTCCCAACCTTCCACGCGGCTTGAAACCACCTAAAGTCGACTCTTAATGCCGGGGGCGCCAAAAAGGAAGAGGAAGAGGGGGTATCGGAGTTGGATTTGGAGAGGGAGCTGAGCCAGAGAGCTTGTTGGACGTGCGCTTCGCGCAGCGCGACGCGGAGCATCAAGAGCGCTACGTCCCTCGCGCCGGGGGCTTCACGATGGACCCAAGGGTAGTGCAGCATCGTTTTGAAGATGTAGCTGTAAGGTATATCGGACTGTATCGGCTGGGCGATGGGGGAGAGGGAGGAGATTGAGAGGTTGGTGGTGGAGGGGACGATTGAGGAGGGGGTGGGTATTGGTGGGAGGTAGGCGTCGAATGGACGGCTGATGGGGATGTGGGATGACGATGGGGAGGAAGAGGGGGAGGGGGAAGGTTCGTCGAGGGGGCGACCGAGCCAGTCCCGGTGGGATCGCTCTTCCTTCTCTTTCGCTACCATCTGACTCAAAGTCGGTACTTCCTCCTCCTCCTCGACGTCCACCAACACCCTCGCCTCTTCCGCTTTCCTCACCACTTCCCTCTCCCTACTCGGGTACAAAGCTTCATAAACACCGACGAGATCCCATATCTCGCCCGAGCGGCCGACGTGCTCGATGATGGCGAGTTTGACTTGCACAGGCAAGTTTTGGCGGAGACCGACCCAGCCGAGAGGCGATTTGCGGATGCCGAAACCGCTCTCGAGGATAAGAGCGGAGAGAGTCTCGAACCCGTCGACGATAGTTTCGTCTTTCCTTGCTTCCACAATGTACCGAGCAGAATTGAGCAAGATCAACCCCGTCGCCTCATCCGACTCTACCCCTCTCTCCTTCATCTCCTCAATCAACGTCTTCAGATTCCCAATCGCTTCCTGGATCTCCCCCTGCGCAGAGAGGCGGTAGCGGTGGATAGCGAGCCACTTGTTGATACTCTGCAACGACAGATTATACGCCATATTCCAGTATTTCGGCGGGAGGGGAGAAGGCGAGGAGGCGCGGAGTTTGACTTCTTGCAAAATCGCGCGACAGCCGGATTTCTCGCCGACGAAGGCGAGCTTGGAGAGATTGTATGTTAGGAACTTATATAAGCGGGGGTCGGGGGCGGCATCGGGGGATTGACGGCGGATGAGGATGTCGGACGCCAGTACCCGGACGCGTTGTTCCAAGCTTATCGCAGCCTTCTCCATCCTCCTCCTATACTTCCTCAGGGCTCCGCCCTCCCTAGTATCAGGCGCTTTGGCGAATACTTTGATAGCGCTCTCTCGAGGAAGCACATGGCGCGCAATGCGGTGCAGTTGCTCAATCGGCAAAGACCGGCGATACACGATACTCAGCTCATTATAAAGCACCCAAGCTTCATCCGCCTTCTTGAAACTTCCTTCAGAGGCTTCTTTCGAAGAACACAATGCGAGGAGTTTGGAGAGGGAGGCTTTTTCGTCGTCGGAGGTGGTATGCCGTATAGGTTTAGGTTGGGCGGTGAAAGTGAGGGTGGAGGAGAAGGAGGGGATGGCGCGGGCGGCTTTGTCGAGGGGGATTGATGTTGGCTCGGAAGCGGGGGTTGGGAAGGTGTTTGAGATTGCTCGACTACATGACTTTAGCGTGGGAAGGAGAGAGGAAGGGGTGGTCTTACCGAGTCATCCTCGGTACGGAGGCTGCTCTAAAAGGGGCATTTCTGAGTGGGGAGTATGGTATGCGCATGGCTGGATATCCAGGGGTGATGGGGGACAAGAGGGGCAGGCTGTTGGGTGCCCTTTTGTTGTATATTTCGGACAATGATAGAGAAGAGTCGTCTTTTCGGCCGCCCAGGTCTTCTTGACGTTGAGCTCGAATACACTTACGTAAACAGACATATTTGCCTCCACTTTGGAGATTTTTGTTGATTTTGCTATGACAGCTTTGGGATTCCTGAACGACAACGACAAATTCGCAAAGCAACATGGGAAACAGACGACTTACGAAGAAGGCTATCAAGGGCAAGGAGGGGCTGCACCCTGGGTCCAGGAAAGGTATGGTTCATGTGTATAGGGGGGGAGTAGCAAGGCTGACTTGGTGATAGCTCATCAGCTCACAAGGGTCAACTTGCGTCTCGACAAGCTCCAATCTCAGGGCAAGATCAGGAAAGACCTCAATACTTCCAAGAGTGAGTACTTGCCCTTCCAATACGCGGGGCGCTCGAGCTGATATGCGACCAGTGACCCGACCGCTCTTCTTCCTCCACTCCCTCTCATCCCCCAATCCGCTGACGCTCGAATCTTTCCGCGCCCTTGTTTCTGAAGTGTATTTGAAGCGGAATGATCCCCGGATAGACGAGCTTTTGGCAGAGAGGCGAGCGGGGAGACCGAAGCAGAAGGAACTGTTGGAGCTTGAAGAGTTTAGGAGAAGGGAGAGGGCAGAGTATGATTCTGGTATGGGTGCGTACAAATCTTGACTCTTTCTTCTGAAGGGGATGCTGATGGATTTTGAAGAGCTCCCGGATATGACACATGGCCCGACAACGCATCTGATGCACCAGTGGATAATGGCAGACGCTTCCATCAACTCGTCGCATCTCGACCTCATGCGCCATGTCCGTCTATCGCCACAGGGAGAGCCGGTGATGACGAAGAAGGGAAGCACGGCGGAGATGGGGCTGGATAAGCAGGAGGGGGAGGTGGGAGCGGGGGATGATTGGACTACTTTGGCGGGTGGAGAGAAGGGGGAAGGGGAGGCTATGGAGGAGCTGTGATTCATGCGCGTTGATGAAGTTTTGATTGGGTTCTATGTATTGTACTTTTACGTCTGCTTGTACGGTTATTCCAGAGAGAGTTCCACAGAGACTGCTAGATCATATATACATCTGGTAACGCCTGCCGAGACCATGAACCCAGCAACAACGACCGACACGACCGACTCACGCTCGCCCACTCACCCACTCTCCAGTCCCGTCCACGTCCAGACACTTCTTCTCTCCAGAACCCCGGTTGTGAACGACCGACCCCTGCTTAGTTGGTTTGGCCGTCCTTCTTGACTTCGTACATTCCGGGGATATCGGCAGGGACGTGTTCGCAAGTGCATCTCGCAGCTTCGGGTACGCCTGCAAGAGCCTAGAAGGAGTCAGTATTCAACCTTTTCGCAAAAGCAGGATAGGGACGCACGATATCAATGTGAGCACCTATCAAGAAGGGTCAAGTGTCAGCGAAATATCAAGGAGGAAGATGGGAAGGCTTACCGCAACCCCACCAAGTGGGCTTTCCGTCGTTGGGGCAGGTTACTTGTCTGCACATTTCCGTTTGCGATCGGGGAAGGTAGTGTGTAGGCGGAGAGGTGGAGGTGTTGGGCGAGATGAGAAGGGAAAAGACGATGCACTCGGTAAAGCGGCCGGCGATTGAACCACCTCCACCGAAAACGACGCGGCAACCCCCACTTCACGTACGCCTGGTATGCCCATCGACGGTGTTCACAACCCTTGCTCAAACAGCTCATGTCCAACATATAATACATACAACGTACATACACTCTTCTTCCTGTTCCCTTCTGTCCCCTGACCAGCTTGTACAGCCTGCATAACCTTCATGGCTGGCGTTTATGGATCATCACCTCCCCCTCGACCTCTTGCTCTTCCAACGTGGAGGCGGAGGCGGTGGATTGCTCGGACAGGCGGCGGTCGCGGTCGGAGAGAATGGCTTCTTTCTTGGATTTCTTGCCGCAGGAGCAGCGTTCGGATTCGGGGATGCCGGCGATGATCTACGGGGGGTGAGCGGGAGCGATGAGGGGAGGGGGTGAATGGTGAGATGGGGAAGAACGTGGGAGGGGAGGTGATATGGGAAGAGACGTACATTTTCTAGATACCTGTCTGTTTGGCGTCAGCTCCATGGAAGAAGGGGACGATCGGGAACGTACCACACGAAGAAAGCTCGAGCTTGACATCGCTAGGGCAAGAAGAGGTCGTCGAATCAAGGGAAGACATTGTGCAGAATCGTTCGATAGGTATGGGCGTTGGATGAGTGTGAGGTGATGAGATGGATGGGGAAGATGGACGTATAGATGCATCGCAATTGTCAACGAGGCAGTAAGGACGAATAGTCTCGGGCAAACACGCAGCCGGATTTACAAATACAAATAGTGTGGGGGAGTGGGGTTCGTCCTATCAGATAAGACAAATCGGATTGTTTTCGGCCGCCCAATCGGGTTGGCGCCGAGAGTGACGTGGGGTCCCAGGGCAATGAGCCGGGGGGTGGATGGGGCGGTGGGGTTGGAGGATGCTTGGGTGGTTGAGTATGGAAAGTTTGGGGAGGAGAGAGAGGGATATTTAGGAGATATAAGGACGAAAAGAGGAGAAAGGTGGGCGGGGAGATCGGATGCGCGTTCTCCCGAAGAGAAAGCCACACCCTTGCCAATTGCCATCAAACCAGTACAAGTATATTACAGCGTATATATTGACAACTGATTACACTTGGAAGACGCTTGCCTGTGACGCTTTACAAAGAAAGAGAGGCAGCTATGTAGCACAATGTCCGCCATCAACCAACAAATCCGCGCCGGTCATGAACGAGCTCGCGTCGGAGAGGAGGTATATCACAGGACCTAACCACATGTCAGCGAAGTCTCTAGACATGGAGTGAGAGGGGTAGTACCTCTGAATTCGTCGGGGGTGGAGAGACGACCGAGGAGGGAGCCTTGTAACCATGTATCATTCAATTCGGGTTTCTCGTCAAGGAGTGCGGCGGTGAGAGCAGTCTTGATCTACAGCCAGGTCAGCTCACATCAATATTCTGCGGCATGGGAAAATGCTTACATAGCCGGGAGATAAAGTCTATACATATCCGAACATAAGCTGAGATCTCGATAGCGCAGAAAAATGGACGTACGTTGACTCGAACACCCTTCTGACCCCACTCGTACGCCAGATTCTTCGCCATCTGCAACACCCCCGCTTTACTCGCGTTATACGGCACACAATCAAGCCCTTTGTTGGCTATGTGGGCGCTCATACTCGCCGTGAAGACTATGCTGGCTCCTCCTCCCTCCGAGGGGGCAGAAGGGAAACGGGCGAATCGCTCCCGGGCGAAAGCTTGGGCGCAGAGGAAAGAACCAGTAAGGTTGATATCCACCACCTTCCTAAACTTCTCCACCGGATAGTCGACAGCGGGGAGCATGAGCTGTATACCCGCTGCTACGAATAAACCCCTCACTGGCGCGTCGGCAGGAGCTTCATCGAAGATCTGCTGGAAAGTTTGAGTGACGGAGGATTGGTCGGTTACGTTGAGAGAGATGTATTTGAGGGAAAGGGAGGAGGAGGAGGCAGTCTGGAGCGCGTGTGACCATTGGGGCTCGGAGGGTGTGGGGAGGAGGTCGAGACAGACGACGTTGGCGCCGGATTCGAGAAGGGTTTGGGCGATGGTGAGACCTAGACCGCGGCCGCCGCCTGTGACGACGATAGTGCGATTGCGAAGATTGAAGAGATCGCTGGTCGGGAGGGGAGAGGGAGGTGCTAACAATATGTCAGATGATTGTTCAAAGGGGAAGCGGAGGCGTACCTTGCGCTGCAGTATCTTCAGGCAGGCCTGGAGGGGCCTTTTCAACGGCATGGTCTGATACTGCCTTGCCGGAGGAGACTGGACGGGGCTTGTCTTTTGCAAAGTGGGCAGCTTGAGGCTTGTCACTCTTGTCGTCTTCCTTCTGGGCAAAAATAGAGGAGGAAAATGACTGCACGTGGAGGGCGGGGAGAAGGCTAAGAGGGCTGGGGAGGATGGCACGACGAGCAGCGAGGGAGAGGCGGATTGGGGCGAGCATGTCTGAGGCGATGGGATGGAAATGCAATACTGTAGACAGTGGAGATGTATATAATTTGAGTCTCTCGTCCCGTGCACATAGACTTTTGAAGTATACCCCGTCATAAGACCGACCGAGTGCAGACCGACGCCGGGTTGTCCGGCCCGTTCCCCGGCGCGTGCCTCTTTTGTTTGGTTTTCTTCTTATCAGGAGTGAGATGGATACTGTGTTTTGTTGTTGTTGTTTTGCGTCATCAAGTGAGAGATTCGTGCGCAGTATGATGTAGAGACGTAGACGAGGGTAAGAGATCTTATTGAAGCGCACCGGTCCAGAGAACCTCTACAGCAATGTCCTATACCCTCGCATCTTGACACCGCTTCCCCATCGTTCCCATTGACGTGTGCTTAGTTGTAGGGCTGATGTATAGGAGGTGTAAAGAGAAAATATGACTGATCTTCAACGGTGATGCTGGCTATTATAGAGAAGAGGCGTCGTATCGCGAGCGCTCGGATCCACCTCGATAACTTCCCGCTGGGTCGCGTATTTCCCAGGCTTCCAAATGGCAGTTCCATCACCAGTATCGCATGCTATACACACAGAGAGCTCGGCTATCCCACCTTTCCCTACAAGAAAGTCATAATCTGCTCGATATGCACATCGTGGATGCCGTATTCATGTCGTTCACCGCCGGCCAACCGAGGGTCTGCGGAACATCACTCGGCCCTAATCACATGTAGCTCGTCCCGCCGTTCTTTTGTTTCCTGCATACTCGCCAGGCTTCTGATGTCTACCGACCTGGACCTTTCCGGCTTACTACATACGCTCAGGGAATACGACAATACCCCGAAACACCCCAGCGACGTCAACAGATTCCGATTCGCCCCAGATGCTATAGCCATGGGCAGTCTTCAAGGAAGGCTCTTTACTCAGGTGAGATCTCATTAGATGTAGCGGATTTGGCTGACCGAGCTGTAGGTATTCGGCGGTGAATGCGTCAAGGGCCCGGACGGCCGACGGAACACCTCTTTTATCGCTTTCGACTTCAAGCGAGAACAGCTAGTGTTCAAGGTGACCACCAGGTTAGACTTTCGAAGAACCCCTCCAGTACTCCACCCTATTGACGCAGAGCTGTCTTTCAACGACATCACCCAACGGGGTATACACATTACCAAGCGGGCTCTCCCAAGCGCCATGAGAAACCCGGATTTGCTGGAGGTTACGGTCACGGTCGGTTGTCGGCGGCCCCCCAGGTTCTATGTGCATTTGGACCGGTCCAGGAGGAGGGCGACGGTGATGGATTTCATGATATCGGGTGCGGTGAGTCATTTTTGGTGATGTTTTATCACATGGCTGATATCGGACAGGTTGAGCGGGAAGCTGGCTCCATATCTACGATTCCAGAGGGACATTGCGCTTATGTGAGTCTTTTGTTCTACTTGAGCAATGACTGACCTTGGGCATAGCCTACATTTTGCAATACATATCGCTGGATCTTTCGCATGGACAGACAACAATATGCGAAGATTACAGCGTGCGTGCAAAAGATCCGAGCACTCGCCCTTGCCGACCCCGAGATGGACCTTATGTCTCTTTCAAGTGAGAATGCGAGATGGTCGGTGCGTATCTTGGGTGATCACGAGTTCCAGCAGTTGTATACCCCGCCCGACTTGTCGAGACTCCCATTCTCTACGAGGACTTTGCTGGAGGGTTTAATCGGATATGGCGTGCTTCCGCCGGTGGATACGCCCAACATGATTGAGACTTTGAGGAAAGCTTCGCCGGCGACGCCGTTCCATAACAGGATTCTGGAGGCTTTGTTCAATCAAGATAGAATCAGGGATGTTAAAGCGCTCATTCCTAGTGAGTGATAGCTTCGGCGAGAGGATGATATGCTGACAGACGAACAGAGCTTGCTGCCTTTCTGCGTCGACGACCGCCTTCCAATCAAACCCATCTCGTTCTCATACGCACCGCGCTCGTTACTCCTATGCGTGTTCTCGTCGGACCGCCGCAATACGAATCGTCCAACAGCGTGACTAGAAAGTACTCGGACAAGCTTGATGGTATCATACGAGTACAATTCAGCGACGAGGATGATCGTTTATATGTGCGTCTTGATGAAACAAACGAACGATGGAGTGAGCTGATATAAACGCAGGTTGCTGGTGCTTTGAAAGACGCCGACAATGCGAATCCTGCTGTCGGACTTATGGCTCGGGTTCGTCGTGCGCTTCAGCATGGTCTTATCATCGGGGGAGAAACATTCTATCCTGTCGCGTCGTCGTCTTCTCAGCAGAGGTGTGTTTAGACGTATTCTGCGTATTCGGTGCTGACTCGTCAGTCAGAGATCATTGTATGTGGTTCATCAACACTCGTATGATTGATGGTCTGAGCCTACGTAATTGGATGGGGACTGTACTCGAGACCGTCGTCGCGAAGCACGCCGCGCGAATGGGTTTGGTGAGTCATTCGCCGTGCTCTTTGCGCTTTTGCTGATACGCTTTAGCCCTTCTCTACAAGCCGTATCGTCAATATGAAGATCGACTTCGGCGAAAAGCTCGCAGATGTCAAGAGAAACGGGAGGAATTTTACGGATGGCGTGGGACTTGCGGGAAGGAATGTGTTGCATGAAGCTGCGCTGGCGCTGGGCGAGAAGAAGGGTATCGACTCTTATCCTTCCGTGATTCAATTTCGTCTCGGGTACGTCCAATATTCCAATCGTGACTATATGTGCTTAGTGCTGGTAGCGGTGCCAAGGGCGTTCTAGCGGATTGGCCCGAGCTTGTCCGCAAAGATGATATACGCCTTCGCCCCTCTCTTATCAAGTTCACCTCCGACCTCGCCGACCTCAACGTTATCCGCGTCGCAAAGTATCAAGTCGCTTTCTTGAACCGACAGTTCATCAATATCATGTGCGCGAATGGTGTATCGCAAGAGCTCATTATCAGGATCTTTAAGGACGTTGTGGCAGATATCAACGGGTTCAGAGATCGAGTGAGGGATGGCAAGATGACAAAGACGGATGAACAGCTTGGGCAAATGTGTGATAATGTAAGTCGCTCTTGTTACTTCCATGATCGCGCTGACATCTTCCAAAGTTCCCCTTCATGCAACTCGTCCGCTCCGGCTTCAACACCAACCCCCTCATCCTCGACATCGCCGCCATCTTGGAGTGCAGGGCTCTGCAAGACCTCAAATGGCGTGCGCGTGTAAAGCTACCGGGCGGAGTGTTCTTGATCGGTATCGCAGATGAGACGGGTACTCTCCGGGAGGGCGAGGTGTTTTGTCAGTATCAGGAGAACGACGGGACGCCGCCAAAGATTGTTACAGATGAGGTCTTGATTTGTCGAGCGCCTGCTCGTAAGTCTTCTCTCTCTTTCTGGGTATGCAGGGCTAACGATGAGCAGTACACCCCGGCGATGTTCGACGCGTATGGGCGGTAGACGCACCAGAATTACGGCACCTCAAGAATGACATCGTCTTTAGCATTCACGGCGAACGTGATCTCCCATCCATGTGAGCTCTTATCGGCTCCCCCATCAATCGACTATTGATTATTCTTTGCAGGCTTGGCGGCGGCGACCTTGACGGCGATGACTATACTCTCATTTGGGATCAGCGTTTCGTCCGACCGCTCTCAATGTATGCCCCCATGGAGTATGAAGCGCCAGATCCGATCAGAGAGAGAGAGGTGACGCAGAGGCATCTGAATGAGAACTTTGTTCAATATATCCTTGTAAGTGTTTCATACATCGCGTTGAATGGGGCTGATCCTAATCGGAAAGAACGACGTTCTTGGTCAGGTCGATAACTGCCATCTTGCGCTGTCGGACAGACACACCCCTTTCGATAAACGATGCCTACAACTATCCGAAATCCACTCTGTAAGAAGAACGCTCGAGCCCGTTATTGTGCTGACGTCTTGCGATAGACCGCGTACGCTCCTCGTTCGATGACTCTTCCTCATATTTTGAGCTGATCTTTTGTAGTGTCGACTTTGCCAAAACTGGACAAGCTGCTACCCTCCACCTACACCTTCGTCCCGCTCAATGGCCCGACTTTATGGACAAAGTACGTTCGAAAGTAGTCGTGTGATGTAGTGCTTATCAAGTCTGTTACAAGGGCGGGAGCGTGGTCAGCTATACAAGCCACAATATACTCGGCAAGATCTTCCGATTGGTCAGCCCCTCTTCCACTTCCATATACTTGTATTTTGTAAGCTGCTGACGACATGTTTAGGTACAAGCCGATCCCCACTTCCGTCCCAGCGATCTCGAGCGCATGGGCTATCCGTCCGACCCTCGCATCACAAAATACCCCTTGAATAATGGTCTTCTAGAGCGACTCAAGGTACTCAAGGCCTGCTATGAAAGAGATGTACAGTACGATATGAGGCGGTGAGCAGGCTTCTGGCTAAGGAGGTTCTAAAACTAATCGTCATACCAGATATCGAGTCTTTGAGCCTGAAATACCAGCTGGCATCGCGATTCGGAACAATAAAAGGAGAAGAGTCCGTGATGAGAATGTCAACGTGAGCTTCCTATCGTTTCTTCGACCATGTCGCTGACAAGACGTGCAGGAACCTTTGCGAGAAGCCTTCTCCTTTGGGGTCGAGAACGTGCGCGACGGCGCTGCCAACATCCTCCGCGACTTTACATTCGAAAGCACGACTCTCACCCCTATGCAGACAATCGTTCGTCACTGCTATGCCTTGACTTTCGAGGAGAGGTTTGTGAGGCAGTGGGAACAACAGCATCGGCAGGGACATTGGGGGGTAGAAATGTTGGATGATGACGACGAAGAGATGCTCAGGCCCAAGTAAGTCTGCAGAACATACCATCGTTCAAGTACTGATCGGAAGTAGACCGTTAATGTCTTTCGCCTTTTGTTTCTGGCAAGAGCTCATACAGATTGTGAGCGAGTCGGGCTTTGAAGTTTGAGAAGCTCCTCGTCTTGTTTTTCCCCTCGCCAATGATTCAGAGTCAAACGTCTATGTATATTGCCATCCTGTACATGGTATATCTTGATTTGATATCGATGAATAGTGCTGTACATATTACCTCAATGATCTCTCTGGAGCGATAGCATAGCAATACATAAGGCCCTTCAACATCGCGTTCATCCCATCCCATATGCTGGAAATCGCCCGGCGGCCGGCTGTGAACTGGTTCCGTCTGCGAGACAAACACGTCGCGACTGTTTTGATCGATTGTTTTTCAACGCCCATTCTTCTCTATCATTTCTCCATTTCCTATAGACATTATGGCGCCAGCACCCACACCCTCCAGTAGCACCGCCAAGCCCCGACTACCCCCCAAATCGGCAGCGGGCACCACCCCCGCGACGGGGCGAGTGACGCGTCTCCGTGCCGCCAAAGAAGCTTCCACCACCCCGTCAACACCAGCGGTCCCGAGACAACCAGGCCTTCTCGCCATGGGGAAAGAAGGTTTGAGAAAGGTGTCGGGAAAGAATGGACAGAAGGAGAAGCCTGTGAGTGCTCACTTGCGGTTTGGGGGCCATCAGTTCTGACCCCGGTATAGACACCTGCGCCCAGGACGAAACCTAACGCCGCTGCTTCCCAAGCACCCGCAGAAACGCTCAAGGTATCTCAAGCTATTTAAAAATACGCGTATTGATGCTGACTTATGCTAGGCTTTTCTGAGGATCCGCCCCCCTCCCGCCGCCGCTTCTGACGCTCGGCCATACCTCGAAATACAGTCCACTACCGATGTTCTCATGCGCGCTCCAATCGTCAGCCCGTTTATCTTCAAGTCCTCATCTATGCTTACAGTCCTCCAGGAGAACTCTCGACACCACGTCCCCAAACCCCCTCACCTCTTCTCTTTCGACCAAGTCTTTCCCCCCGACACGCCCCAATCCGACTTTTTCACGACTACCACTCTTCCTCTTGTCGACAAACTCTTGGCGGGCGAGAACGGACTCATGTTCACGTATGGTGTGAGCAACAGCGGCAAGTCGTATACTATCCAAGGGGGCAGTACGATGGAGGCGGAGCAGAGGGGTGTTCTGCCACGGGCGATAGATGTGGTGTTCAACTCTATCGAGGGTCTTGAGAGCTCAGCAAAGGTCCGCCATTCGAGTTCTGTTTTGTGTGTATAGCTGACTTGGTCCTCTAGCTTCAAACCCAAGGCTTGGCCGATGTGGTGTTCCGAGACAATGACGAGTATCTCAACATCGTAGACCCTCTCGCCACTCAAGAGCCCAAGATACCGGACAGTGAGCTTTCTATATCTGTGAGGGCACCCGACTGATGTTGGGACGTAGCAATCAAAGTGGATCGTAACTTTTCATACGCCATCTTCGTCTCGTATTCGGAGGTGTACAATGAAAAGGTGAGCACGCGCGATGTACCGAATGACCATTTCTGATCATCTTTAGATATTTGATCTCCTCGACTCTGTCCTCCCCACATCTCCGGGCACCCCCACCCAACCACGCCCGCGTGCGACATACGACAAGGCGCCTCGCGGGTCGCGTATGCAAAGCTTCTCCGCCGTCAACTCGTCTTTTCACATGGCAGCTATGGCCAACGGGGGCGGGGGCGTCTTGAAGAGACAAGCTTTGGGTCTGAAGAATGATCCGGAGGGGAGCGGCAAGTACATTGCGGGGCTTAAAGACGTGAGAGTCAGGACGCGCGAGGTATGTTGAGATGGACTCTGCCGATTGGGAAATGCTGATAAGATCTGTAGGAAGCGTTGGCGGTCTTCCGTTCCGGCCAGAATGCTCGACAAGTGTTTGGGACCCTCGCCAATCGCGAATCAAGCCGCAGTCACGGCATCTTCACCATCAAAGTCGTCCGCATCCACAACGGCGCCCCTCTCGATCCCGACTCTGCCCAAGTCTCTCGCCTCGCCATTGTTGATCTTGCCGGCTCGGAGCGATACAAGAACACGCATACGACAGGCGATAGGCTGAAGGAAGCGGGCAACATCAACAAGAGCTTGATGGTGCTTGGGCAATGTCTGGAGGTGTTGCGGGCGAACCAGCAGAAGCTCGCTGGACCTGGGCCGGCGGCGAAGAAGAGGATTGCGGTGGTGCCGTTCAGGCATTCGAAGCTCACGGAAATCTTCCAAAACTTCTTTGTCGGCGATGGTCGTGCTGTACGTCTTCTGTTCTCTCTCGCTCGTTCCATGTCGTGCTGATACCTTCGGCAGGTCATTGTCATAAACGTCAACCCCTACGACACCGGCTTCGACGAAAACTCCCACGTCATGCGCTTCTCTGCCTCCGCCCGCGAGGTCCAAACGACTGCCCACAACAAGGTCGGACTCCCTCTCCTACGACGCCAGATCAGTACCCAATTCAACGCGCTTCGACATGCTGTATCGGCACCGATGAAGATCAAGGTCACGGTGCCAGTTATTCCGAAGGACGAGGGCAGTAGAAGTGCGGGCGAGGGCGGCAAGGGTAAGGCGGCGAAAGAGGGAGATGGGTGGGGGAAGATGACGGCGGACAGGGAGAGTCAGGGCTTTGTCATGGTTGAGGAAGAGCTGGAAGTGGAGGAGCAAGATCCTGAAAGCGAGGTCGAGGATGAGAAGGATGCTCTGGTCGAATACTTGTTTGAGCAATTGCGGGAGATGAAGACGAGAGTGAGTCTTTTCTTCCATGTTCAGCGTGGAGACTGACAGTTCTGTAGCTGTACGAGTCCGAGATGCGATCGGCTGCGATCGAGGTGGAAGTGAGAGAGGAAGTAGCGAGGGAGATGCAAGAGTCGATGCAGAGGATGCACGAAGGCTTTACCCAGCGACTCAACGAACATGTACGTTCTCCTCATCGCTCCCGCATGATTGGTGCTGACACTGTTCATATAGGCTCTCGCCAGCGAGCTCAAGGCGGACCGCAAGATAGACATTGTGATGCGCTCCATGACCCCCGCCGTCTCGCGCACTTATCGAAACATCCCTGAACACTCTCCAGCCGATGTGACGATGGAAGAGGAGGAAAGGAGCTTCGAGTCGGCCATTGACGAATCTCTTGTAAGTACTCCTTACTTTCCTCGCTGCGTCTTGATGCGTTTCTCGGACATGGTCGCTGACTCATAGCTATAGATGGCATCCGGAGACGATTCCATGGTTACCTCAAATGCCGACCCTTTTCTCGTCAAAGCCCCATCTATCCCTATCCCTACCGTCACTATCTCGAGAGACTCGGTGCCGGCCCATGCGCGAGAAGCTGGCACCACGGATAAGGTGGAGAATGATGACCTTGTGGGGAGCGAGGAAGAGTATGACGAGGAGGAAGGGTCGGAGGACGAAGGCGGCGAAGAGTCGGGTGATGAAGGAGACGATGTCGATGAGGATGAGGAGAGCGAGGAAGAGGAAGACGAGGAGGAGCTAGAGGATGAGAAAGACGATTCGGACGGCTCGGCATTCACCATCTCGGCGAACGAAGCTTCCGACGCTGAAAGCGACCAAGAGCTTTCCGCCCCTCGACAAAGTTCGGCCTCTCCTCGAAAAAGCAAACAAACACCAACGAAGAAGCGAGCTCCTTCATCCTACCACGAGTCTAGCAGTACCCCTCAAATTATTACTCCCGGACCGCTGGCAGAAAGAGTCAGTCAACTGGAGCTTTCGGACGACGACGACGATGAGGTATCCGTGAAATCGACAAAGAAGAAGAGGTATGTCTTTCCCGTTCACCTTTCTAGTCGTTTGAAGCTGATAGGTCCTGATAGGGCTTTGGGAAAGAAGAAGGTGGTAACAGAGGATGAGATGGAGAGGCACGATTTGCGGATCTCGGGGGCGGAGGTGAAGCGGATGATGAAGGCGTCGAAGTAATGACCAGTCTTTTTGTACCGAATATGTCGACTTATCTCTTTCTACGTGATATGTTCAAGTATCTTTATCTTTTACAGCTATGCAATCCACTCATGTGAAGCTTTAAGCACTGAAAGAAGGTTGAACAAGCATCGCGGCCATTATGGCCGACACGACTACTTCAAGTTCAGCGACCTCTCTCTCATAGTCAACCACTTATGCCAGGCGTTGTCTCCAGTCTGAACCATATGAGCGTACGTGAGATGATGCATGATGGTTTAATGGCCTGCTTTTGAGATAAGAACCGTACAAATGCCACAGAAAACAAGACACCCGCCTCACCAGGCATCGCCACACAGAACCCCCAGAAACCACTCAACGCCCAACCTCTATAAACTACAACTCGAGCGGACCTCTCTACCCTCTCCCGTGGCCGTTGCCGTTGCCCAATCACTAGACGCCTCCTTCTAGAATCCCATCTGGTTGAAGCCTGAGGAGTACGCCATGGGCTTGACGTCGGGATGGGGGACGGCGTCGAATTGGTGATACGAGAGCGCGCCGTTAGCTTGCATCCGGATGTAAGCAGCCTGATCACATATCAGCATCCCGAACAACAAACAGCCCGGGAGGGGGAGAGGATAGGAGAGGAGAAAGACGTAGACGTACCTTGTTACCCGTAGAATCACAATAATTGGGACAACTGAACACCGTGATACACAGTCCATCGTGCTCGATGGCATACCCGTCTGCGCGTACTTCGTGCGACCGGATGACGGCGGTGATGTTGTTGAGCTCGCACCATCGTCGAGTGACGTCGGGGCCGAAGCCGAGGCCGACACCGCGTTTGGAAGGGCCGCGGCCGGTGGGTTCTTGCGGGTCGGTCCAGAGCATCTTAACCCAACTTGTTAGTAAAGCGGTAAAGAAACGAGAGAGGGGGGGGGGGGGTGCTCACTTCGCAGATGACTCCTTCTTGTCCCGGCTGTCTCCCAAATCGCTCGAGCTTTGAAACTTCCTCCAGGGTGACGCCGTCTTTGCTGACAGGAGGACCGCCGTGGCAGATGAAGAACCGTCTCTTGCCTTCGTGGAGGATAGCGGGCTTTGAGCCTTCAGATTTGGGGCTGGTGGGGGGAAGGGAAGCGGAGAGGAGGACGGCGAGGGGTACTATGGATGGTCAGCTACGGAGGTGGTGAGAGAGGGAGGGGGGACGTACGCATCGTAAAGACATCGGCAAAGAGCTTGAAAGTCATCTCACCAAGCTTGGCTTTGCATTCGCCTTCAAAGCCGTACACCTTGTTCATATCTACACTGCCCATCAGCACCGCCTTACCTTAGACTCTAGCAAGAATCGCGACGTACCATTCGTTTCGTGGTTGCCTCGGTTGATGAAGACGTAATTGGGGTACAGCCACTTGTAGGCGAAAGCGGTCAGGGCGACCTCGACGGACCATGATCCTCTGTCGACGAGATCGCCGTTGAAGACGAGGTAGTGGTTCTCGCTCGGGGGGGATGTCATGGAGAGGAGGTTGCAGACGTCGAAGAATTGGCCGTGGGCTACAAAAATTGTCAGAGGCGTAACGAGAGAGTGGCGGGGACACTCACTATCACCGATGATATCACAAGTCACTCCTTCCGGTATTTCGATCTCCACCAGACTCTTCTCCTTCTCCACCTGCTCCTTACACCCCAAGATGATCTCCCAAGCAACCCTCTTCGGAATCTTTCCGCCCTTCTTGAAGCTCTCGATCATTCCTTCGACGAATTCTTTTGTGGGGGTGTATCGGGCGAGGGGGTCGGAGGGGATAGTGGGGAGGGGCATGTCGGAAGCGGCGGAGGCGGGGTCGAAGGTACAAGCGCCTGAATCTATAAGAGCTAGACATCTTTGGGAGGCAGTCTCGCTATCGCCGACGGAGATGGCCTTCCATATTTGTCAGTACGGTAGCAAAGTCTACGCAGAAGACGCTCACCTTCTCAAATTCGATCCTCCGTATCAGCTTGACGACGGTGTTGAGCTGTTCTCTAATGACCCTGTTGTTGGGCTCGATCGACAAAGCTTTCTTGAGATCGGGTACAGAGTCGGTGGGGCGGAGGATCGCGAGGTAGGAGAGACCACGGCGATAGTAGGCCTTGGCGTATGAGGGATTGATGGATACGGCCTTGGCTGATACAACATCAGGATATTCCCCGGGAGACTGAAGAGATGAAGACTCACTAGCATCAGAGATAGCAGCACCATGCTCCTCCATCTTCGCCTTGCTCATGGCTCGATTGTTCCAAAACGTCGACTCTTTCGGGTTCAGCGCGATCGCCTGAGTGTACAGATCGATAGACTTGTTGAACTCTTTCGCTATCATATATGTCAGAATCTGCCATGTAGAATGGGCTTTGAAAGGGAGGACGTACCAGCAAAAGCCTTGTTCGCTTGAGCTTTCAATTCCAAAGCCTTCGTCTTGTCCTCCTCCGTGATGACCTTGTCATCGTCGACTTCTTCCTCGAGTTCGCCATCTTCGCCCACTATTCCATGGTCAGCAAGCGAACAAGAGACATGAGAGGGGCAGTTGGCGTACACGATAACCCAGCGAGTCGGGTAGCGCTCAGTACAGGGGAGGGAAAGGGGGTGTAGTCGTCTTCAGGGGCGGTAGTAGCGCTGGTGGAGGGGGAGGCGACGGAGGATTCGACGCCGGTGATGATGCTGGAGAGCTCGCTGCGGAGTGCTTCGTGGCTTGAGTCTGAGTCTGAGCCTGACATTTTCGGTGGAGGTGAAGAGAGATGGACGATAGGCGATTCCAGAAATTCCTTTACACTGCACAAAACGATCGCCGGCGCGGGATCAAATGCAAGTCGATGATGTATTGATGTATGGTTCTCTTTCCGACTGTCCATCTCATCACCATGTCAGCACAAGATCCCAACGCCCCACCGCCAGAAGTTGAAGCCACCCTCTCCCGCCTCTCGCAGTATCGCAACGTCCGCGGCGTCATGGTCCTCGCCCGCTCCCATATCGTCGGCGACACCCCACACCCCTCTCGGCCAGGCGATGCTGGTATAGTCCAGACGACGGGTACGGTCTTTGAAGGGGAAGGAGGAGCAAAGTATGCTGGAGCTGTGGAGATGATCGTGCTCAGTACGGGGGCTGCTATTGCCGAGTGCGAGGAAGGCGTGAGTTCGGTTCTTGTTCCCCTCCCCTCTCCTGATGATGTGCTGACGCCTCTTTATGTAGGACGAACTCAGACTGATGAGGATCAGAACGAAGAGACACGAGCTTATCATTACTCCCGGTGAGTACTAGGCCTCATGGACTATCGGGACAGGACACTGACGCTTGCGCAGATGAAAAGTATGTCCTTGTGGGTTCTGCAAGACCCGGGGCAATGAGCGCCTATCTCCTCACCCCTACTCCACACTCTTCATGATACGACCTTCCACGACCTTTACGATCCACATGAATACCATCCCTGATAGCATAGCAACGCACGCATCCCACATGCTACGCTAGTCAACGCAAAATCACATCCTCCGCTTCTTTCTCGTACCGACTTCGCCTCCATCGTCGACAGTGTCCGACACCTCTTCAGCCCACCATTCATGACGCCTATCATTGCACAAGTCCCTCCCAGACAGTCTCTACGTTCTGAAATTGATGAGTATAGCAATGCATGGCGAATACAACTTTGAAAACAAGGTGCGAGACGGCAATGATGTGTAGAAAGAGGGGAGGGGTAGGCTCAAGGAGAAGATCGGATACTCGTAGCACCACCGCTCTATAGAGATAGTCAGCCATCATGCCCTGTTGCTCGCACATATATGACCATCTCCAACACTCCAGTCTGCCTCGAGGTCGCTGAGCCTACCATCCCCCTATAGCCTCGTCGCCCACCAAGCCCGTCGCCCGTCCAAACGCAAGCAAGGGGAGGATAAACTCACCATAACAGCATCCATCTCCAGCTCTCCCACTTCTTTCGTCCGCCACAGATACCCCGGCGCTTCCCAGAAATTCTCAAAGTCCACCGGCTTTCCCGAAGGCTTGAAGCCCGGATCTTGTTTTGACGCGGGGGCGGATGATGAAGAGGAGGGGGAGGCGTTGAGTTGGGAGAGGAAGGAGGGGAAGGCGTCGCGGATTTCGGAGGGGGCGCATGCGTGGGGGGATGGTTTGTGGGGAGCTGCCGGAGTGTCAGCTCGTCGGAGGACGGTGGGCGAGAGAGAAAGTGAGGGGAAGAACGTACGGTGTTGCAAATTTTTCCTTGGGCCCAGAAATTTGATCATGGGCTTGTAGTGCGAGGCGCGGAAGACTTGAGAAGGGCGCATGGTCGGTGAAGAGGGGGGGTTATGTGCTAGTAAGTATGGGGAGCGATGTCGAAGTGAATGATGCTGCTGTTGCGCCGTACTTTTGATCCCGGTCGGACGAGTCCGAGGGAATGCCGACCGTCCACTCTCATCCCAAAAACGAATGCGCAGGCCTGCATGGCCAGCTACGGGGGGACTGGACGGAGGCTGTCTTCATCGCTCCATCCTCGTCATGAGCACTCGTCAATATAAGAGGCATACACGGCTTACCGTCCGCCTATCAGCAAATCAGCATTCAGCGATGCGGGCGGTATGCCCGCCTGAAGCACTTTCCGCGTTCCGCCTTAGGGGGGTGAAGAAGGTTACATAGGATTTGTAGCGCTCATCATCTCTATGTACTAGGACTGTATGTAAGACGATTTCGAAATGAGGGAAAAAGACAAGACGGCCCGACTCGCCAAGTCAATAAAAGGGGGTTAGCGGGGGGGGTGCGGGGGTTAGGGTTAGCGGGGGTTAGCGGGGTAGCGGGGTTAGCGGGGGGTTAGGGGTTTAGCGGGGGTTAGCGGGGGTTAGCGGGGGTTAGCGGGGTTAGGCGGGGGTTAGCGGGGGTTAGCGGGGGTTAGCGGGGTTAGCGGAGGGGTTAGCGGGGTTAGCGGGGGTTTAGCGGGGTTGCGTGGGTTAGCGGGTGTACGGGGGTTAGCGGGTTAGCGGGGTTAGCGGGGTTTAGCGGGGGTTAGGGGGTTAGCGGGGTTAGCGGGGTAGCGGGGTTAGCGGGGGGTTAGCGGGGTTAGCGGGTTAGCGGGGTTATCT